AAGGATGTAAAGAGAGAAAAAAAATAGTTCTTAGACTATGCATCACTCATATTATTATTGGCTTAGCAAGATCCTTTTTTCTTTTTTTCCTTATCTTTCTCCTTAAGAAAAATTTTCCAGTTAGTCTTCCACAAGCAACGCGCCATCCTTGTGTGTGTATGTGTGATACCCGCTAGTTCTAGTTGAAGGACTCTTTTTTTACAGAAGATTAAGGAACAAAGTTCGTTGTCACGATCTTGCTTTGGCCAGTCCGTTTTTTGAATAAAAGAGACAGATAATATGTATCCTTTCCGATCAAAAAGTCTTCATGTATCTCATAACTTCAAACATGTTTTACTACTTTAAATTCAGACAATGTTATTTTTTTTGAACGAATCAAAATTAGCTTTCAGATGTTTGCTTACCTTTTTTGAACGAAATAAAAAAGGAAATTCAGATACAAAAGAACATTAGATTTCAGACAATTTTAAAGATAATAATTGCTCTTTTTACCTGTAAAACCTTTAAACCAGCGCCCCGCCGAAGTGAGACGAAGCAACCACATTGGAGGTGGCGAGTTGTCTTTTGAAGACAATAGGTTGACCTTGACCATTCCAGATAGAATGTGCAACGAGAAGCACGCCCTTGGAGGCCCTTTCATCGCGATTCCAAAAAATATTGCAGGTGTTGCACTTCAATACTTGATGGATCTTTTTGACATCATCACCTCTTCTACACTTCAGATTCTGTAGGTCTTGATTTAAGCAAGAGTTGAAGGTCTATAAAGATATTGTTTAGAATGCATGATTTATGATCATTGTTATACTAACCTTCGAGGTTTTGTATTTATTGATATCGAGAAGTAACAACTCTCCAAGTCCCTTTCCGTGCTTTAATTGCTTATAAATTTTGTTGGAGACATCATGCCGAAGACCTTTAAACTTAACATGGCTTTCATTTTTCTGACCGTCACCAAAGATAATTAAAGACATATTTTTGCAGTCGCCTTCTTCAAAACGGTTTTTGTTCCTCCTTCTGTAAGATACGAATAATGCTTAGATTATACTAAAAAGAAAAAGAAAAAAAGTATATACCTTTCAGGTTGTGGGATAGAAACTGGGTGTTCCTCTTTGTATTTTTTTTCTTCGTAATTTGTTATATTTTTCCATCATTCAATAATATATTCACGCTTTTTTAAATGGCCTTTTGGGACCCAGCATAATTTAGCCATTTTAGCTTTGCAGTCTCAAAACTGTAAAAGTTTAACAAGATGTCCATGTATTGCAGTATATAAGTTAGATATAGCATGTATTGTTAAACGGATGCAGTTTTCGGCGAAGGCATATCTGTTTCAATTCTTTCAATACCTAAGCTTTTTTTACGACCTCGTTGTAATTTCTGGCGTTTTACAGTTCCACCCATACCATGGTACGCAGCAGAAGGCAGGCGGCTTACGTCGATGCCTCCGTGGGAAGAGACAAAGGCATCCTTTCTTCCTGGGTCCACAGTACATGAACGAAAATACTTATCTACTTCGTCGGTCGTAAAATCACTCAGTTCTAGAAAAACGTCATCTGCTGCTGACGACGGAAGCACCTTTCCACAGAACAACACTCTACACCTGTAACCATCGGTATACATTTCATTAAGAGGCATCCTTCCTTCGAGCATATTTTTGAGCTCTTCCCAACTACATGATTATCATTGATAACCTGAATGTAAAATATCAAACAGTGATACCTTCGAAATCCCAGCCTCTCAAAATCAAACATTTGGAAGAATTGTCTTTGATTATAATCACATGGGGACTCGTTGATTTGCTTTTCTTGTTTTGCCTTGGGGAAAATATCTGTGAGGTTCTGAGCATCGATCTTTATAAATCGCCAGCCCAATCCGGGATTCGGAAACAAACTAAAAAGTCTGGGAGGTACGAACTTGCTGGTACTGTCTTTGTCAATTTGAGAAGGTTGAGCCATATGCAAATTCTCATACTTTTCTAGGGCGGGTAAAATTTTGAAAGGCTCATTATTTAAGCTGATTTTCGACACTGGAAGCGTGAGCATACGATTCTTCATTTCTAAAATTAAGGGATTCAAAAAAACTGGAAAGACTAGAAGCCACATCCGAATCAAAAGGTCAATCATTTCATCGGGTATAGGATATGGCTCAGAGCGTACAAGTACTTCATCATATACATGATTATACACCAAGTTTTTAAAGCAACTAACCTTTACATTCTAAAACACACAGGTTAATATGAATGCATTAGATAATTTTTTTTGTTTTGCTGTCACTTACTGGATACTTTCTCTTCAGGGTATAGATGAAGTAACTACGTATAATATTTTCGAAATTTTCAATATAGTAATTGCTACAACTGGTTGCAACAGTTTTACGGACAGCTGACAGAGGTTGTCCGTAGTTCCTTAACCCATTCTCTTCTACAAACAAGTTATCATTTGTGGTAATGGAGGATAGATAAACAAATGTATTTGTAAGTTAATCAACGTCCAAATTTTCTTCATTTGGTCTTTCCTTTCGTCTGTTTCGATAGTTCTTTAGAATGGACTTGATTTTATCTGGACCAGCACGAACAACTCTTGAAATAGTATACCAAAAGTTTTGCTCAAAAAAAGTCATTGGTCAACTTGTTTGGATGTTTCAAAATAAAGTAATTCACAAACAGCTGTGCTTTCAGTACCACTTCCTGATAAAACCTGATATTGCTTTGATCTTTTCCAAGGGGTTGGCTTTTTTGGGGGGGACTCTCTACAGAAGCTTGCAAAAGAAATGAAAACAGTATACCTTTGATAACTTGAGTCAAGTTTGATTTGTAGAAGCTCCTCTAATTTCAGGCTATAATTCCTACAAGCGCGGCTTCTTGCGGATTTGTGTCCCTCCTCTTGGTAAGAACTACAGATTATTCTACTTGTAGAGGATGATGCTTCGGAGATAGCTGCCTGGCGTCTTCTCTTTACATCCTGTTTTGCTTTTATTACATCAGAAGTATCTTTTCTCTTGGTACCTTTATGCAAATTAGCTTGTGAGGCATTAAAAATGCACCAAGTGTTTCTCTTTACCTGTTCTTTTTGAATTTTGGACACGTAAGGCTTCTATGTTATCATTGGATTGAATATTTTCTATGTTTATATGCTTTTTTTTACAGCAATGAACTGTTTCACTTCAGAATAAATAGGTATACGAGGCATTAAAGACTAGAAAAAAGTGAAAAAAGAAAAAGAGATCAAGGCAGCATTCTATTGATACTCTTTGATTTAACTTTGCAGTCACTGATATATAACGAATGAATTACTGTAGGCTAAGATTGACAATGTTAAAAAGAAAAGTCAAAAAAAAGGTACAACTACATATCATATAAGTTTTATTCGAAATGTCATGGATGCCCTGGACAAGCCCAACAAGCATGCATTTTATATTGTTATGGACAATTACAGAATTCATCATTATCAGTATGTCGTGGATACGATTAAGAGTAGAGGTTATAAACCTTTGTTTATGCCTTGATACTCTCCCTTTCTTAATCTTATTGAGGAGTGCTAGTCAAAGATTAAAAAGCATGTCAAAGGAGATTCACTTCCTCTTTAGATACTTTGACACCCAAAATTAAGGCCGCTTGTGAAACTGTCACTACACAAGACTGCCTTGGCTGGATTAGGCACTCTGAAACTTACTGGGATAGATATCTTAATAGACAAACTAGCATCATTTAAGTCTTTTGAAAATAATTTTCATTTGCCCGAATTTAAAGTGCGAATACTGTAAGCGGTGGGATCACTAAGCCCCGATACCTGGAGCAAGTCGCCGCGCTTGCATGAGTTGAAAGCAGGTAGCACTGTTATCATCTTCTTGGGTGTCCAAGATAGAGGAATGGGCTTGATTTAGGTATTACTTTGTGCACCTATTCTAAAATGAAAAGGACATGAGTTTGTAACTAGAATCAATGTAAATATTTATTTAAAATGCATAGAATTAGCAGAGTGAGTCTATTGCGCAACATATCAATAAACTAGACAAACTATGTACAATTATAAAGAATGTTAGCAGACGTATAGAAGAAGGTTCTTCGCTTACCATCCACAGCAAAAGTCAGATCCTGCAGGGTTCGTTTGTGCTGGTTGGGTATAGACAACTTGTGGCGGTGGTCTGTTAAACACTGTGAGTTATATACATACTACGAGTTAAGCCAAGTATTACTGTGGTTGGTATCCTCCCTGTGGCTGGTATGCTCCCTGTGGTGGAGGAGGATAATAAGCCTGTTGCTGTGGTTGTTGTTGTTGAAAGTCGCCCTGAAAAGGAGGAGGAGGATAAAACTGTTGTTGAGGTGCTTGAGGTGGGTATGACATAAAGAGAAGAAATATGAAAAAACCGGTCCTTTCAGCTTAAAATATAAATTACACAATCGATCCAATCAAATCTTTCTCCTCTCTCTCTGTCTCTTTATATCGTTCCTTTATGGATAAATCTGAATCAAAAAGAAACAAGCATGACGCATATTGGCATCAGTTAAATCACTGGACTGATTCCTTATTCGGTCACTCATCACAGTCTATATTACCAACCAATCAACAACAGCAACAAGAGAAAAGAAAGCGTTGGGTCAGGCTACTTGTGTTATTCTACATAATCTTTTCCATCTTGCTCACATCAGCTCACTTCACACGTTGGTTCTTTCAACTCTTCTCTCAACACAAAACAAGAGACACTTTTCATATTGACCGTACTTATGATGCTGGTAATTATATGTACAAAAAAAGATAAAGCTTGCATGATGACATTATGTGTAATAGATTTATCATACTCGGCCATCACAACTATGCCCCATGGCTTAAAACTATCCAAAATGTTTCCCAAGAGTGAATATGACGCATTAAAGGGAGTAACGCCCTTTTGGCAGCCAGCATCGCAGCCATCTGATGAAAGCGATGTTAGTTTATTGACCAACGTATCTCCGGAATCATGGAAAGAACTCGTTGCACTAGCCGAAAATTATAATGGTAACATGCAATATATCCACATATACTTATAAAACTCATCACGACATAGGCCCTATTTCTGCTACACTTCATGTATCTAAGCAAGCTCATAAAGACGTTTTAAATGATATCGAACAAGAATACCGTTCAAAGCCTTCTCTTTATCAAAATGTTGATATTCATCTCATCGAAACCTCAGGGCACAACAGTATTTCGGTCTTACTACCCATGAATGCCGAAAGAAACATTGCTCGAGTGTACGCAAGAACGAACTATGTCTGCGATACGCCTTCAAGTGTCATCTTACCTACCGATTTACGTCGAACGATCCACACATATACCAAACAAATGCAGCTTGGTGATATGCTCGTGGTGCCTACATTTGAAATCCAACAACAGGTAGTATCTGCCAATGATATCCCGCGCACAAAGAAGGAAGTCCTCGGTTTGGTGAACGAAGGCAAGTTGGGTCTATATGATGTTCAATTCAAACTGAATGAAGGACCTACTGATTTGGAAAAGTGGAAAAAGGCAAAGGATGTGTATAAAGTAGAGAATTATACGATTGATTATGAACCATTGGTAATTCAGAGCAAAACAGTTCAACCATGGTAAAATGAGAGTGATTCTTGCTGTGTATGATTCATATTCATATCTCCTATGTAGGTGCTCTGAACGATTTGTAGATAAAAGATCAGCTTGCCTATTATCCAGTTACCTGGCTGGAAATGATTTCTTGGTGCTGCCTAATGATTTTGCTATTTATAAACCATCGGCAAGAAAGCATCTTGTTTCGGATTTAGATGTAAATAGATTAAAAAAGAGCATAATATCTTATGACTGACACAATATATAGAGAGTCATTGAAAAGAGACTGTACTCCAAGTTTTATTGGGAAGAATGTGTATACCATGCAAGAGAATTGGATTCTATGGGCTTATGGAAGACTAGTAAATCAAACCATATTAGACAGCAATGTTCTCGTATCATTCAAAATTGGGGTAAAGGTTTAATAGGAAAGCCTGAATGATAATAATAAAATAAAAATAAATAAAATATCTCTTTTTTTGGTCTTTTTTTCTTAATAATTTATATCCTTTATGAACCAAGACTACACTTATTTATCAGAACAGCAACAACAGCAACAATACCATATCAACCGGTTTACTATGACTACAACACCTACTACTACTACTACTACTACTACAGCAACAACCACAACAACAGATATGTCAGGACCACAACGACCCATAAATACAACACCTGCATTTCAATCAATAGGTTACGATGAAAGAGAAAAGAGGTTTATTATTAGTACATGTTCTAGTAGAGTTTATCTACTCATATATAAATGTACGTAGAACATATGAATTAGTAGTATGCCAACAACCCCTTCATGCCCGCATGTGTGGATTTGGTGAAAAAGACAGAAGACCCATTGATCCTCCTCCCATTGTTCAACTCATTGTCAAGCAAAATGATGTTCCAGTAGACATTCAGTAAGAACAGAAAAAAAGTAGTTACAATAACAATACTCATCATCACTAGATCCCTTCAAATTCCGTTCTTTGTGCTTCATGTCACGCTTTGGTCCGATGATCGAACCGAAGAACGCAACATTATATCTAATCCACCTAAATGCACTCGAGTCCTCATGGGTTCACTTGTTAGTTCACCTAGTCTATTAAAGAACGCCAAGAATGAACCTGGACTTTATTTTGCCTTTCCTGATCTGAGCATTCGTACAGAAGGAAGATATACACTTCGATTTAGTTTGATGAAACTGGCCAAGTATGTATTGCTGAGAATAATAATAATAATAATAATAACTTTTATATACAGTTCGGACTTCCAGGAGAATGCAAAGAGTAAGATTGTAGCTCAAGTGTTTTCTGATCCTTTTACTGTCTATTCTGCTAAAAAGGTATTTATAGATTAATGATATGCGCAATAACTAATTCAAATCATATAGTTTCCTGGCATGACCGGTAACCATAGAAAGCTAAATCAAAATAAAAAAAAAAGAAAGGAGGAAATCACTAAAATAACTTTTTATAGAATCTACTGAACTATCAAAGATATTTGCAAAACAAGGCTTGAAGATTCCTATTCGGAATGATGGTAATAAAGAATAAAAACAAGATATAACATAGTAACCCTTTTTTTTATATATAGTTCGAGCTAGGAAAACAGACTAATGAATAAAGAAATCTATTTACATCTATCTTCTTTCCTCTCTCTGTGTGTGTGTTGTTCTTTCCTCCCCTTTTTTTTGAAGGGAGACTAAAGACTAAAAAAGAAAGAGAGAAAATCTTGTCGACCCCTTACAGATGTTTATATTCCTGCATAAACTCTAACAAGTCAAAAGAACAAAGTGAGAGCCGTGTTTTTTAAAAAAAATTATTTTGTAATACACTTTTGTACGAGGTAAAAAAAAAGCAAGATAAATTCTTTTTATTTACGTTTTCTCCTTTTCTTTCTTTCTTTTTCTCTTTTATTGATGACAGTTGCATAGATTCTATAAAGAAAAAATGGATGAAAATCAACCACAGACATTAGAAAGCAAAGAAAATATAATAAATGTAATACTCCTTTTTATATGTTGAGCTTTTATCTAAACTCATTTTAATAGACTTCACTATTACTTGCTCGCGTGGAAAGGCACAAAGATAGATTAAAGTCAGATCCACGACCTATATTTCAGCAAGCGGATGATCATATCATCGACTTATTCCAAGCCTGTGTACAGGAACAAGGGCTGACCAAAGAACGGGGAAAGCAATGGCAATCAATCTCACACGCTAATGTTTATCAGCTTTACGCTATCTATGATACTTTGAGCAGCGACAGCAACAGCTATCAGACGGTTATCGAAAAAGATATTCAGTCGGTCATTCAAGACGATCTTCATCAGGTTGATCGAGAAGCGCTAGCTCGTATACTGAAAGCATATAGTGTTTACGATGCCCAAGTAGGATACTGTCATGGTATGGCTTCCTTGGTTGTTCCATTATTATCTGAGATGGAGGAAAAGGAAGCCTTTGCGACTTTTGTCAGGTACACAAAAATATTAAAGTTAAATGACATAAACTAACCATAAAAGATTGATGGAGCTTTATGATCTACGTCGTCTATTCATCAGCGGACTCTCCGAATGCCTCTCTACTTATCAGTCACTGTTAGCCACCCTTTGTCCTGACGTCAAGCGACACCTTGATCTTCTCCGAATTTATCCCTCAATGTATGCTGCCTCCTGGTTTCCCTCCTTGTTTACAAACTCTCCGCTCCCCATCACTCAGATGAAGCGGCTGTACGATCTTGTCTTTTTAGAAGGCGCTGTTGAAACCACCTTGAGGTTCTCACTTTGCTTGATGCAAAGGAACGAAAAGATGATCCTGAGCATGAACCAAGCCGACCAAGTGCTTGCATTTATCCAATCTTCCGAGTTCTTTGCATGCTATCCGCACGACGCAGCCCTCTTTTACCAAGACATGATGCAGCTCAATTCAGCAGTGCAGCATCAGATAACTCAGACGGCTGATCTGGCACGTACGGTTGCACAACTTCAGAAAGAGAACACACAGCTCAAGATGCAAGGTATGGAGCAAGAAGCTGCACAACTTAAACTCAGCAAGCGTAATGCCGTCCTTGAAAAACGAGTCAAAAAGTACAAGGTCAAGTTGGCCCACGCTGTCCAGACACAATTGCCGCCGGCTAGTGTCCCCGTAGATCTTGACGATCAGGAAAAGAAAAAGAAAGACAATTTTAACTCGTTTGTCGAATCGCTTCGTGGCACAGGTGATTTTGGTGCTTTGATTGCAGGCGCCATCATGACCGACACAAGACTGCCTTCGTTGCTGACTGTTAATAATAATAATAACAGTAGCAGTGATGAAGAGGATGAAGATGAACATACTAGAAAGCATCAAGAACAAGTAGATGCAGCACTTCAAAATGTCACATCCGAACTGGTTGCTATTAAGATTGATCACTTTGAGACAACACAACGTTATGAGGCTCTCTATCGACACTGTGAGCAGCTCAGCCGCCAGCTTCAACAGGCTTTAGAACACCAAACAGCCATGACGCAAAAGATCATTTACCTGACAAGCGAACTCGAAGACACAACAAGTGAACGTGATCAATTATATCAAGATCAAGAACAGGTCTTGGAAATGGCTACTGTTGCCAAGAAGACGGCTGCTGAACTGCAGCTTGAAAAGATGACACTTGCCAAGGAGGTCGAACTGCTAGAACAGCGTGTAGCTGAATTAGAAAAAGAGAAGCAACAGTTCTTTATGCCCCGCGATACGTTTTCGGAGGAAGTTTTTGCTGCCCACAGCATCCTGTTTGGTCAACAAGAGCAACAAAAAATCACACAAAAGGAGCAAAGACGTCACACGATGGCCATCGCATCCTTGTCTCAGCAAGAGAACGAATACAAGACGAAATATGTCGAAAGCGAATTACGTTGTCGTGAGCTTGAAAAATATTTAGCAGAGGCTAAAGTTAGATTAGCCGAATTAGAAACTAGTTTATTATACCCCGTTCGTCGTGCCTCATCTGTTCATCTCAAGCGTAGTTCCACTGCTTCCATTTTAGCTAGAGTAAGCACACCAACGACAGAGCCAAGAGCAAGTACAGAAAGCTATGCGTCATCTACAACATCCTTGACTTCTATGAATAGTAGTCAGTATAATAGTAAAAGATCAAGCATGTATTCAAGGATTTGGAATGCATTTGGAAATAGTCCAATAACACCACCTCCAATGATCGCAACAACTGCACCGCCTACAACAACAACCGTAATGAAGAATTCAATCATTTGTCAAGAGCCTCAAATCATCTAAAGGCCCCCCTTTTTTTCTCTTTTTTTTATATTTCATATCATACAACATCTTTTTTAAATAATAAAAAAAACCTATCTGTCTTTAAAGAAGCTTTTTTCCCCTCTTCACATGTCTTATTTAATTTTTACACACACTCACACATATATTTATATACAGGTATGAATGTAGAAACAGATGAGCATGTATAGTCTACATCATTATTTATATATCATTCTTTTTTTTCAAGTGTATAAAGAAAGAATAACATGCCATTATCATTTCGTATATGGCTTTTATTTCTCATTCTGAATATGTTTATAATCAACAAAGTGTATGACACATTAGCATATGAAAAAAGTGTAACTTGACCCCACTTTCATATGAAAATACATTTATTCATTCAGAGAAATGCATCTTAAAAGAGAGAGAACAAGCTTTGAACAAAATGATGGAATAGAAAGCATCAAACATATAATAACCTTTTTTCTCCTTTATATGTTTGTTTCTTTTTGTGATTGTTTTAATACAAACAATTAACTACAGGAACACGACACAACGACCTCCACTCTTTTATTTTTACCCCGCAAAAAGTACTACCTCAAATGACATCAAAATTCAATCTATTTAAACACACGTTTTTTCTTGCTTTTTTTTTCATTTCTTTTCTTTTCTTTTTTATTTTAAACAATGTCTACTAGTCCACACACTGAAAAAGCTCATCAAGCCTTGTCCAGCTTGAAAGAACTCGCCTCTACCACTGACGGCTGGACCTTTGTCCAAGAAAAAGAAGGTGTCAAGCTTTATAACAAGACGGTCGAGGGTAGTCCTATTCCTCTTGTCCGCGGTGACATTGTCATCGAAGGTGATCAATATACCCCACAACAACTCTTGGCTGTTTGTACATTCCCTGGATGCAGAAAGATTTGTAAGTACAAGTATCTTTTTTCTGATAAGGCTGCTCATCCTATTGTGTGTCTAGGGGACGAAAAGTACGATACCTCAGAAATTAAGCAATTATATAACAGATTTGAATCCTTATTCTGGACAAAGTTAAAGACACCATGGCCCATCAGGTAAGATCACATCGCTATATATACACACAAAAAGAAGGGAGAGCATAAAAATTAAATGTACACAAGTCCTCGTGATATCGCAGGTACCTCATTGCGTGAAACCTCAGATAATGGAGGCTATATCGTCTTGACCTCTGTCACTGATCCTCAGATCCCTGAAAACTCTGGTGTTGTTCGTGCCAACTTGATCCTCTCTGGTTGGAAAGTTGAAAAGACAAGCACCGGTATTTCCATTGTTTATATTACACAAATAGATTTGGCTGGTTCCATTCCTACTTCCTTCTTGAAGACTGTCCAACAACAGGTCCCTCTTTGTGCTGGTAAGGTCGTCAAGTATATTAAAGATTTCGGATATCCCCCTCTTTGCTTGGACGCTACAGCCACTTTCAAGAAGGAATCATTTGATCATGGCAAGAGAGAATATACAGCCGAATTGGATGGTGAAGGTGAGGCTAAGTGGTCTTACTCAAAGCAAATGTATCCTGGTGGCGTCAGAGTCCATGTATCTGGCAATGGATCTGTTGAAGTTGTTAATCATGAAATTATTCTCAAGGGAGTCAATGGTCCTGCCACTGTTACGATCACCAAGTCTTAAATAAAAAAAAAGTGACTAGTTTATTTAAGTTTCGTTTTGCTTATTTTTGAGGTACACTGGATGATGATTTTCGGACTGTGATATACCATATCTGTAGTCTAGCTGTAACAAGTAAAGACTAGTTTACTTTTAAGGGCAGGCTAAACATTCAAAAAAAAAAGCTGTTTGATTCAATAAGAACAAAATGTTTATTTCAAAGATAAGAATAAAAAAGTTGATATCGTTCAAGTGTGAGTGAAAAATGATAGAAAAAAAGAGGGGGGAAACGCATCAACCAGATTTGATAAAAAAAAACTGTGTTTTCTTTGCAGAAAAGCAAAGCCATTGTGAGCTCCTCATTAAACCCTATCTAAATTTATTGAAAAAATTAATACAATATTAAATGCAGAATTCTATTGTGAGATTCATATGTGGTCAACTTGTTCGATAAAGCCAGAGAGCAGAATTAAAGAGGCTGCGTGTAACCTCTTTTGAATCCTTAGTCATCCTTTGTCCAATCAATCGGCATAAATATTATTTTTCATTAGACGGAGAATTGGATAAATGAATCTGTTAACACAGCGCATATAATAAAACTGTGAAACAATGACAGTAAACAGTTTGGGGCCCTTCCCTGTAGTCAGGGGAAGGAAAGGTGTATCAGATAAATACAAGCATAAGCATTTCAAAACTAATTGAGATACAAAAGGGACATTGGTACATTACACAATCTGATTTGGCTGGTTCCGTTTCCATCCACTGACTGATCTGGTGCGGGTTCCGTCGAACAAGTGACTTATGAATAGTTAATACAAGCCAGAAAGGATCTTTTTTTTAAAAAAAAAAATCGTTGTACCGTGGGCTGGATTTATCATTGATCAATATCATCTTGTAGTAAATGTAATGATTGTAATGGGATTTGTCTTTGAAAGTTCTTTTTGTGTTACTGATTGTGGCATGAATACGATGCCATTGGAAGCATGTATGTCTGTAATAATGTGATGTAAACTAGTTAAACAGTCATATGCGAATAGTATGATTGTATTGTTGACAAAAGCAAGCCTCAAGAATGAGTAAACACATTATGTCACATCTATGCAAAATAGCTCAACCTGTTTATCGATCGCACAAAAATAAGCATCATTACGAAAGACCGAGTTTATCAACGTTGTCCACAAAAGCAAGTATGTAATCTCTATTTAACTCGGGATAAAAAGTACAACATGATAGATATATTCATCTATTATACTAAACAAAAGAGAAAAAACAGCGTGCTGAGTTTTCGATTTCATTCAAATCACAAACTGTCAACCTGTTGTCATATTGACAAGAATGGTATGCTCTCAAGCATTTTGTATAGATATGTGCCCTTTTCTATAAAACCTTGTGCTTGCTCCCCTATTTGCTTTAACTTCTATACCAAACTCAACTACACGCCTAATATAATTCCCATTCGAGATCATGAACGGCTATTCTTTTGCCAAAATTATTTCTTTTATCCGTAACCAGATATAAGCAATTATATAATAAGCTATATACATCTTTTCTCGGATCTACTCGAAAGACAAGGCTTGAGTGGCTCAATTTAGGTTTAGGATTTTGTGATTTCTATAAAACTGTTGTTCGGAAATGATGTCTTCTCACGTTTTAGTCTCTGTAACCGGATGATTTTTTTTCTATTTAGAATCTAATAGATCAGTGAATGATATATATTCTAAAGAAATGCTTTCGTTAATATTCAAATTTCTTTTTTTGTTTGTGAATTAACATAAATGGAAAGCAACCCCCCCTTGTCCAAATAGCTATCTCTTGGTGTCATTCAACGTCAGTTATCTTTAAGGTCAATCATTAAAGCAAAAGACAGTAACGTATATATAGTTGTGTGTGGATCATGAAACAACAGAAAGAGCTTTGATTCTGTAATCTTGTAGACGTATTGATGCATTACATACTATTTTGTACTAATAAATGTATTTATGGGCTCAGCTCATGAGGAAACTATATTTATCTTTTTTCTCGACTGTGAAAGTAAATCTCTTGGCTCAATCAATATAGAATTATTTGTAAAATAGGGAAATTTGATCAGCCGTCCTTGGAATAATTTGTAATGTCATGATCTCATGTGGCACAAATGCTGATATATCGATTCTATCTTATTCTATGCTTTGGTGTACAAATCGAAGAGGAGGGAGATTCATTAGTCTTTTTTATTTGCATATGGGAGCGTCTTTATGTACATAAAAGTGTTTTTTTGAAGAAAAAAAGGAGAGGGGGAGCAAGACATATGAACAGATGCGTGTGCGTATGTGTGAAAGAGATGTATAGAAAGGGTAGTGTGTGTGTGGGAAAGCATATACAGTTTGCAAAACTTAGAGCGTATCATCGGTCAACGAGTCTTCATCCTCATCTGCGTCTTGACTGTGCAAGACCCAGCCAACTTTCCATGTATGACCACAGGGCCAGTATTTGGGGTTACATACAAAGTTTTCAATGTCTTCGTCAAGATCAACTTTACCATCAGGTCTGAAACTACGCATTTGATCTATCAGTTGCACTGCTTTGCGTTTTTCTTCTTTACAGAGGACCCATCTGCAATGTCGGCAAACACAGCCACCACTTTTATTGTATCTATAAATCAAGTTAGTTTGGTGCATTTAAAATACAGATGAAGGTCCCTACCTAAGACCACACTTGTTACAGAGATAGACAAAAGGCTTGCCTTTATCATTAAACTCGGTATCTGTAGGGAATGGCCAATTGAATGCCTTTCTCATGCAGCCATCTGATGTCTCTTGACATGCTTGGCAAGGTCCCTTTATACGTGAGGGACGGCCTGAATGTGGATGTGAATATTTACGTCGCGGAGGTGCCGCCGCGGGTGTGGGCTGCTGTTGCTGTTGCTGTTGTTGTTGTTGTTGTTGTTCTGGCTGATGATGTTGCATCGAAATAGGTTTGGGTAAGACAAGATCATCATCAGGTGTAGTACTTTGCCATTGAAGTCTGGGTATCTGAATCTTCATGGCCTTTACGCGCTTAGTAGGGTATGTTCTTGCCTTCAAGACACGTTGACGTAGTGGCCAGAGCAAGGAAGTACCATGAAGAATCTTTGGCACCATGTGTACAGAGTCTAATTGAAAGATAATACTTTTATCGTGAATCTGATCTGATGGAGATCGATGAGGAATTGATTTTCTCTTGTTATGCATGATTGTTGTTGTCGTATTAAATACATAATCTTCTTCTATTAGTTCAGGTGGCGATGGGATAGACATACGACATGGTTCTTCTGTTAGGAACGATAAATCATACTTTTTATTTTCATAAGGTGGCGTAGCGGGTGTATTCATGTTGTAAATAAATAATAAATAAAAGAAAAAAGAAATAGAATGTGGAGAAGAAGAGAAGAAATTATACAAAAGCCATTTATTTATTACTTTTTTTTAGATCATTGTCTTTTTATACCAGCAAAAAAAAAGATAAAAGCTTTTTCCGGTTTAAAGAACTCACCGGATGAATCAACATATAAAACAGCCGGTGCCGAAATTTGTAACGGCTATTCCCCTTCCACTCCTTCATTCGTCGCGGAGGAAATCCCAGAAAACCATGTGTGCTATTCCCAACAATTTAACTTTATTGATTTAGGTCCCTTTGTGTACTTTTTATCCAAGGAGGTCATCATTGATCGCTCATTTTACGTTTCTTACCCTTTCTTTGATTTACAAAGTTCCACACAGATGAAAAAAGAGAGATACCCTTACGCGCCACCAAATGATTGGACAGGTTGAATATCAATTCCGGTATCCCGAAAAAATAGCCAAGAATCGGGGGAGCAAGGTTTTAGCCACAGTTGACTGGGGGCCACGAGTTAAGTTTCCCCGTTTGTTGAAATGGTTTAAAAGCGTAGAATACCATGACGTGTGAAATTATCCAATCAATTAAAGAAAATAGGTGACGCGTCTAGAACAAAAAAGGCAAGTTAATCATCTTTTTGATTTTCTCGCACGTACAGACACACACTAAATCCTGATCTGGTCCCCCTCTCTTTTCTATATTCTATATTTCTTGATCCAAAAAGTAAAACGAATGAATTCATGTTGGTTATGAAACAAGCTTGACAAGTAGATAAAGATTCAGTTGTAGGATCTGTTTAAAATGTGTGTATATACAAGTATAAAATATTTCGGATTTACTATTTATCACGATCAGATCAAAAAAATAATCCAATGCTAAGCAACGGACTTTTATTTTAGGTTGCTAATCAGATGTGTCAATGATTAAGACATAAAAAACTCTGGGCTCGTTCTTTAGTAAGGGTCCATATTCTATCCCGCCTTCTAATGTCCCCACTTTGATTGGAATATCTATCTGGTTTCAAATCTCCCGTCCTTTATTACTCTTGTTTTATATAATTAATTGAGTTTAGAAGCGTATCGAATGACCATGAAAATACTACAATAAATGTTATTAAATATTCTCTCGTTCACTTTGTAATTACCTTAACAACGTAACAAGTCCGGCTGGCATAAATTTACGTCCTTTGTAGAAGCGTGAACCCATTACGATAAAGAGTAAAAGGCTAACAACTAAAATAGAAAAAAAGGTTCAATCTTCGAAATATTTCTTCCTCATATGATCACATACTCAATGCTAAAGTAACATTTTTTGGGTCTTGAGAAACCTGATAGGCACCGAGAGCTGCCAAAGCGCCGAAAACTGCTCCAGCTAAAAGAGAAGCTGTACTCCCAGCTATAGAATTGAGGGGCTTAGTAAATAATGGGAAGGGTACTTTATAACGTTTACTCAACCTTTTAGATAGCCTACAAGTCCACCCGCAAATACAGTTGTTCCATAAGCATAACCTATAATGTCAGTCATTGCAATGAAGAGATGACTAAACAATTATTAATCCAAAAAAATATATGCATTTTGTTGTTGCCGTGGCATATCGGCGCCCAATATTTCCATAATTTCAGCCAATCAAATTAAGCGATGAGGGTGTGGCAACTGCGCTTCCTCGCGTGGCACACAGGTGCTTGATCCTCTGCTTCACCAAGGCACTCCTTCTCCTGTATGTTTATTGTATTGATATTCGTGATCTTGACTTTTAAATAAAGTTTGATCTATTTAGGCACATAAATAAGCTGCTTCATGCTATCAATAATATCATGAGATGATTTAATAAAACGGCAAACTGACTGATGATGCATTTTAAGCGTAAGAACCATACGATATATCAGTAAATGGCTGAAAAAGCACATCACCTTAGTTCACTTTGAAAATGGAAGAGCCAGCGGATGATCTGTCTATAGGTAAACAAAAGAGACCTAGGCATATGTGTTGTATGACACTTGAAAAATTCGATTAGAGTTACCTAAATGATGAATATTTTTTAAGGCAAAAACAACATCTATGTATCGCTTTTTAGGGCTCAATGGCTTAGTAATCAGCCAGCTATTAGCCTTGAATTTTGTAGTGATTAGTAAAAAGGATTACATTGAATTATCCGTGTGCTACCAGGAGTAATGCACAATTCTCTTCTTGTTTTCTAAAAAGATACGCATATGACCTAGTACCCTTGGTTTTAGGGGCAATTCATCTCACACCACAGAGAAATGGCATTAATAAGAGCCGCGGCAGAAAGTTCATGTGTCGATAAATTTTTACTAATTGTCTTAATTTTTCCGAATTTCCCCACTTGTTTTCTTGTCTGCTTCAAGACAAGGCCGATATGTAGCAAAAAGTATGGTTAGGTGATAAAGATGAGAGTATTCGTATATAAAAAATCACTGGATGATCTTTTATTCATTTTCCTGTAATTATTTGCAGATGTTTGTGTATTCATTTAGGCAAGTTGTTATCTACAAGCGTATACGATGAAATGACTATAACAACCTATTGCTTTTGATATTTTAATTTAAAGATATAACGGGCTTTTTACACCCATTATATGATCCAAGCATTGATCTTTTTTGTAATAATGAGCTCCTTTAATCTAGTCCATAATAGATATGCAATAAAGACTCGTCTACATTTCTTTCTTTGTTATTATCACAGCTACATCACACCACGACAATCTGAGGAATCAGCTTCAGGCTATCGAAGTAGCGTTACTCCACCTCCATTATGATCTGAGGAAGATTTTAGTATAATTCAAACATACAATTCTGATGGACTAACTTTCATAAGCTTTTTGATATTTCAAAGCAGTTTATTTTCTTTGAAATCGTCACTTAACTTTTCATCAGTACAAGAAGCTCGCCGTGTCATTGGTCAAATATATAATCGTATTGTATGCAGGAGCGTGTATGGCAAATGTTAGTGCATTGATTCGAATAAGAGAGCCAAGTACTCTTGTCATGCCCGAGTTATAGAAAAAGAAAGGCCTTTTATATAGAGTTAATAATATACGATCCGGCAGGCACATAATACTAAATGTAGCTTGACTTGTAATGGACCAATCTCATAATAGGATTAGTTAGTAAAGGAAGGATAAATAGTAGCATTTGCTTGCATTAAAAACTCTTAAGCTCTAATTAGGATACTTTTTAACTATAAGACTGTTAATCAAAGAACTTGCTGATAAAATGAATATGTATGATTGAAATATATATAGAAAATCCTTATATTACTAATTACTGCAAGCAGTACTCGGAAAAGAAGGGGGAGAGATTCCTACTGAGTCATAACACTACTTAATAACTATTTCACAGTGCATACTACTGTGCAAATCCTTTAGCGTTCTGAAACATGTGAGAAAATGAGAGCAGAATGGTTTACACAAATGAATGTATTTTTTATATATATTTTGATTTGACCTAAAGAATCTTTTGGTTCTTTGAAATGTGACGAAGCTTAAATATTTTTTCACTATTTTAAGTGACCTCAAACAATGAAATATTTATAAGAGCTTACATTACCAATCCTTTCTCATAGCCAAAACATGAAGTTGTTATCTTTTATTCTTATTGGATTCGCTATGCTATCTGTTATGAATGCTGCATCAACGGAGCCTGTTAAAGAGATGTGTCTCCCAGCTTGCCATCGAACTGAACATCATTGTCCTACAGCCTTTTTTTCAAAGAAACAGAGTATATGCTGGACCTGTTGTACTACGTCTCGCAAACTGTTCATAAAAGCCACTTGATGTATTTTCTCTCTCTGTTTCTCTTTTGTTTTATGCTAAACAAATCAGTTATTTATATGACCTTGTTTGTTTCATAATAAAGAGCAATTCCTTTTGTATATCATATTTAATCATTTCCCCAAATACGTAGGCGTAGACCTCCACAGTAACCTATCAGCTTGTCATTTTTTTTTTTTAAATCACAGATTTAAGGAGTTTAGCATAAATAGTGAATTTACACTTGAGGTTTTTTATTTCTTTGCCAACATGTACAGCGATGGACATAATGGCAACAATGAACAATCACAACAACAAAAGGACGACAGAGATTATAAATACTTGATCGTCAAGAATCTCAACAAACGAACCAATGCTGGTACCGTGTTTAACTATTTTGCTCGTTTTGCCTCAGTAGAGGACGCAAGTTTGAATCTTGACGACGATCGACTCACTCCGGACGGAACAGCTACAATCACATTTCGAAAAATTCCTCGAGACAGAGAAAAGCAGGAGCTTTTAAAGCAGCACAGGATTGATGGTCATATCGTTTACACTGAATTTGCCAAAATGAATGCCTCACAGAATACCTTCAAGAGCTACGAAGCTTCAAATCTGAATGCAGAAAAGTTTGCGCTGGGAAATTTTATCAGTGTACGGCACTTTGTGGAGCAGTGGTCAACGAAGGCCAATGTCAGGTTTCGTGTACTCTACCCACGACGTTCGATTGATGTATTCTTTACCTATCAGGACATTGACTACAAGTTGAACTATAAATTCAAGGAAGTGCAAGGGGACATGGTTGTAGAAAAGATAGGAAATAAAATCATCTTTACGATACCTCTTCGATATCCTCCATGTTATTGGAAACGTGATCCAAATTCAGTGCATGAAACAGCATTCAAAAAGCAACGAGGAAATTGGGAAAGAATTACAACCATACCTTTAACCAAGACAAATGGTCCGGAACCAAGATTAAAGGAACCTATATTGCCCATGGCCCGGCCTGATACTGTCAAGATTGGCGTCTGGACAGTACTACGCATCACCTTTAACCCCCTGCCTAGAAATATTACGGTCTTTGAACGAGAGCTCGAAAAGGCCGCCGACTTTAATCTGGTGCCTAGAGATCCAAGCAAGATGAAGCCTACGATCAAGGTGACAGAGGCTTCTCAGCTTCCGTCTCCTCTTACATACCTTGATCGAGTAAAGTATAACTTTGAATTTGATGTTCTCTACTTACTGGAATCTGTCATTTCATATCATTATATTGATGAATATAATATGGACGGCAACTTTTATTCAACGATCAAGGCCTTGGATCCCTCTATTGTCCGTGGAATACTAGAACTGGTCGCCCTAAATAAAAAGAGAGTATGGGACCCGTTCACAGCCTTTAGGAATATATGGGAAAAGTTGGACATGAAAGTATGTCAATTGCGCAAGATACCCAGTCACTGTGCGATGCTTCGTAAAGTCATTATTACACCTAGTACTCTTTTTATTCAACCTCCCAACTTGGAAACAACCAACCGTGTCGTACGACATTACCGTGACTATGCAGATCGATTCATCCGTGTTCAGTTCATGGACGAAGGCTTTAACCGTGTAGGCGCTGCTCGTACAAAGATGACGAATGAAGCGATATACAACCGTATCTATGATGCCTTGAAACGGGGTATCCAAATCGGCGACAGAAGATATGAATTTTTGGCTTTCTCAAGCTCGCAATTACGAGAACATGGCTGTTGGTTCTTTGCATCCACGCCGGACCTTACACCAGACATGATTCGGAGTTGGATGGGCGTCTTTTCTCATGAAAAAGTCGTGGCTAAACATGCTGTGCGTATGGGTCAATGCTTTTCTTCGACTAGGCCGATCTGTCGTTTGGAAGCCGATGAGGTGCAGTTTATAGATGACGTGGTTTATAATGGGTACACCTTCTCGGATGGCGTGGGTCGAATTGCGCCCTCCTTGGCAGAGCAAGTCGCAACTCAAATGGATCTCAGACATATTCCAAGTGCGTTTCAATTCCGTTTAGGTGGGGCCAAGGGCGTCTTGACGGTGGATAAGAGCCTTGAAAATGGAGGAGTCAAGGTACAGCTTCGTCCTAGTCAAATTAAATTCAAGTCAGAACACTTGACATTAGAAGTTATCCGTACATCGACCTATATTCACGGCTACTTAAACCGTCAGGTGATTACTTTATTGTCTGCTTTGGGCGTTCGTGACAAAGTATTTTTGAAACTTATGGATAACATGCTTCATGATATTGACAAGATTCTCAGAAAACCAGAAGAAGCTGTCCGTGTGCTTCTTAGCAATACAGATGAAGCTGGTACCGCACCAATCATGGCATCTATTATCCAAGCAGGCTTCTTGGAGAGACAGGATCCCTACATTAAAAATCTGCTGAACCTATTTCGTGTAAATATTTTGAAGGACTTGAAGAAGAAGGCAAAGATATTAGTGCCTCAGGGAGCTTTCTTACTAGGCGTCATGGATGAAACAAACACTTTGGAAGAAGGTGAAATATTTGTACAAATCTGGGATTCTTCAAGCACTGGAACAATTAGACAAATCATTACAAAGGAATGCGTCGTATTCAGAAATCCGTGCTTTCATCCTGGTGATGTTCGTGTAGTGCAAGCGGTTGATAGGCCTAATCTCCATCACTTAGTGAACGTTGTTGTATTTTCTTCCAAAGGCTATAGAGATATACCAAGTATGTGTTCAGGTGGTGACTTAGATGGTGATGATTACTCGTAAGTGTATGATTATTAATGTATCAACAGACTCTTACTCTATGTCAACAGTGTCTACTGGGATCCCATGCTCATTCCGCCCAGAAAGAACTATCCACCTATGGACTATACAGCAGCTAAACCAAGGCTAGTGGAGGATGTGAAAATTCGTGATATTCAAAGGTTCTTTGTAAACTACATCAATAATGATAATCTTGGACAAATTGCTAATGCTCATCTTGCCACGGCTGATATGAGCGATAAAGGAGCCATGGACGGTCGATGCATTTTATTGGCTCAGCTTCATTCAGAGGCAGTTGGTAAGGGGAAAAATGAATTATCATCATGTGAGAGAGAACTGATCATCGTTATTTTTCATAGATTTCCCAAAATCTGGCAAGCCTGCTATTCTTTCTGAAGACTTGATTGTGAGAAAGTTTCCAGACTTTATGCAAAAGAAGGACAAGGAATCCTACCAATCTAAAAAGGTGCTTGGTCATATTTATCGCTCTGTTGACAAGTCGGATTATAAAGATTACATGTCAATGCTGACTGAGGAAGCTGTGTATGATACCCGTCTACATGTTCCTGGTATGGAGTATTATATTGGTGAGGCTCGCGAGCTTCGTAGTGACTATAATCGCGACCTACTGGGCCTTATGAACCAAAGTGGAGTCCAGACGGAAGCAGAGATTGTCTCTGGTTATATCATCAAGTGGCTAAAGAAGGGCAAGAGCAAGACACGCTATGAACAACATGACAGTACTATGAAAGCAGTCAAATCATTTAAGTCTTTGTGGAGAAAAGAATTCGAAAAAGAGTTTTTGGAGGAAAGCAAGAATACAGTTGATATGGCAAAGAGGGCCAGTATAGAGGCAAAGGCAGCTGCTTGGTACTATGTAACTTATCATCCTGAAGAAAGACAAAGAGACTACTCTGAACAAGGCGGCTTCCTCAGTTTTCCTTGGGTTATCTATGATTACATCTGTGATATTGCGAAGAAAAACACACACAGAGCTCAAGATACATCCCTATCATTGCCTATTCCTGAGACTGTAATTGAAGAGGAGCATGCTAAACATATGCTTGCCAAAAAGGCCATGGAAAATAGGGGCGATGATGACAAAGAGCCAATAGTTGAAATTGTGGATGAAAATGACGAGGATACTGATTATGAATCAGATTTTAGCGAGGATAACGAAGCAGTCATCTATAGTGGAAACACGGGTATGTTTACATTTAACAATTCAGAGCTAAGAAGAGCAGTTCAAGAGTTGAATATCAGTAATGACCTAGAAAATACCCGATCATCACCTCAGAATAACGGACATGTCCGACCGACTAACAACAATACTAACCAACCTGTTATTCAAGCAGATGCTTCTAACGAGGACCTGATGAAGATCCTTTTAAGCTAGTTTTTTTCTCTTGTGTTCTTAATGCTACTATTATTGCCAATTAATCTTGTATATTATGCATTTTGCTTTATTATATTTTTTTGCATAAACCTTTGAGAGAGAACTATTTTTATTACTTAACTGTTGCTTTTCAAGGTTGGAAGCAAGTAAATTATACAGTTGCTGAAATGAAAACAAAGGATACGGCCTAAACCATATGTACAAGGAATTCTCTGGAAAAAAAACAGATATATTCCGCAGTAAGGGCCAAAGTATTCATGAAGCTTCTTTGAAGGAAACGACAACACATCTGGGGTGGCTGTACCTGCATAGCTACACATGAACTTTAATTTTTCTTTTTTTGGAAGACTATTACGTCCATCAAGTTGTTGTGTTACATTCGCATTAAAAAGGAAAAAAAGCGTCATAAAAAAGGTACTCTTGACGAAATTAAGCGAGAGAGAATGTTTGACCTTTATTGTATTTCTATATACAAGCAGATGAATTATTAAGCAAAGGTTAATAAAAAGAGAAATAAAGGGGAGAGCAGGCTTACGTACTTACTATTCCAAATTAGTCAAAATAGGCGATCGTTCTTGCTTTGTTGTGGCGGGCAAAATCGGTGAAATTCTCGCCGCGAGAACACGACAATGTTTTCCCGTGAACAAGTAAAGTATATAAATATATTGATCTACTTTTCTTGTTTTCTTTTTTATTTTTATCAAACACAATTAAAGAAAACAAATCATGGTTAGCTCATCTGAACGAGTATTTATTCTTGGAGGCACAGGAAATGTTGGCTCAAAGACCACAAGAGATTTAATTGCCAAAGGTATTCCTGTCACATTATATGCACGTCAGCCGGAAAAAGTAAAGGCATCATTTGAAAACAACAGCCTTGTCAACACTATCCAAGGTGATTACAAAGACCTTACTCCATTGAAGGAAGGATTAAAGGGACACACCAGACTCTTTCTTTTGATTGTTGATATGTACAATATGATCCAACTGAAAAAGACTATTGCTGCTTGGGCTTATGAAGCTGGTATTAAGCAAATTGTGGATATCTCAAGTTTTACCGTAAGCTGCCCTTTAAGAACAACCTTTATTGGTGTGAATCATTACGAATCCGAACAAGCCATCTATCATCTTCCTAATCGTGGTGCCTTTGTTGCCTTGCGTCCAGGTCGCTTCATGTCAAATATTTTCATGTTTGATGGTCTCCAGTTCAGTAATGACACTATTTTTGATACAGTAGATGCCGACAAACCACAGGGCTGGGTTTCACCAAACGATATTGGCGCGGTTGCTGCAGTTGTCCTTAGTGAAGACATTGAAAAGCATGGTGATTCAGTGTATGAACTCAATAGTGATGTTGCTACTCCAACCCAGCGCGCCACTTATCTCTCGCGTATCCTTGGCCGTGACATAAAATATAAGCAGATCGACTCTCTTGAGAAATATGATATGCTCATGAGTACTGGGCACCTCAGTCATCCTTTTGCCTACTGTCTCAGTACAACCTTGGTATCCTATGATATGCAGAATCCTATTATCACTGATGGTATTCATGTCTTGTTACGAAGAAAGCCAGAAACATTGGAAAAATACCTTGAAGATAATAAGCATTTACTCAAATAAACTATATTTTTAAAAGCTGTCTTTAACTAATTCAAAAAGTGTGTGTGTGTGTGTGTCAGAAGGAGTCCTTATCAGTCCATATTGTATATGTGTGTGTCTATTGCTCAGTGAAAAGTGTCCCTATAAAAAAAATTTCTTTTTTTGTCTCTTGATTTAGGACAAAGAGCCCTGTTGATGAATCGATTAAAATTAGCTTACAGGCCCATTGTCTTTGTGGTGACAGCAAGACGATACATTAGTACTCCTGCTCGTGTCCGATTCGCACCTAGCCCTACTGGCCAACTTCATTTAGGGGGATTAAGAACTGCACTTTACAATTACTTGCTTGCAAAAAAGACAAACGGTCAATTCATCTTGCGCATTGAAGACACCGATCAGGTAAATCGTCAGTAAAATATAAAAAGACTCCCCTGATCTGTAACAATTTATAGTCTAGATACGTGGAAGGAGCAGTCGAAAACTTGATCAGGGCCTTAGACTGGGCTGGCATTCACCACGACGAAGGTACCTGTTCTTTTTTTCTTTACGAGTATTATTTACCGACATTTCCATAGGACCTGACAAGAACGGACCACATGCACCTTATTATCAAGTAAGAGAGCAAGAGAGAGAGAGAGAAAGACTTACTCAATAACAAATAGTCAGAGAGAACTGAATTATATAGAAGATATGCAAAGCAATTGGTTGATACAGATCATGCTTACAGATGCTTTTGTACACCTGAAAGATTGCAAAAGGTACGGGAGGCAAGGCAAAAACAAGGAAACTACATTGCGTATGACAAGCATTGCTCTTATTTAAGTGAGGAAGAGATTCAAACGAACCTTGAAAAGAAGATTCCCTTTACTATTCGATTAAGAGTATGTAAAACTTTACATCCGATCCTTATTATTATCTTAACAGCTTTTATTAGACCCCCTATGAAGGAATGACGGAGCATGAGGATTTAGTGTATGGGAAGATCAGCTTTAGTAATAAAACAATAGACGACACCATCTTGATCAAAAGTGATGGATATCCAACCTACCATCTAGCAAATGTAGTGGACGACCATTTAATGGAAATTACCCATGTGTTGAGAGGAGAGGTACACTTTTTCTATAAAAGAAAATAAGAATATACAATTAATATTATTTACAGGAATGGTTATCTTCTACTCCCAAACATCTGCTATTGTATAAAGCACTTGGATGGAAGCCACCCTTGTTTGCTCACTTACCGCTCTTGCTAAATCCTGATGGCTCCAAGCTTTCGAAGCGATCAGGCGATGTCTATGTTGAACAATACATTTCTAAAGGCTATCTTCCAGAAGCTATCAATAATTTTGTATCATTACTAGGCTGGCATCCTGGACATGATGATACAACAAATGACGCATTGTTTACGATGAAAGAATTGATTGATAGAGTAATACCTTTTTTTTTTGTTATTCTCTTGTCAATAGCTCATTCTTATTTATATATAGTTTGATATCAAGGACATCAATCACTCTGGTGCTATTGTAGATCACCAAAAGTTAGATTGGATCAACAAGCATCACTTACTAAAGAGAGCAGAGACAAAAGAGGGATTAAATAGCCTGGTAGACATGCTAAAACCACTGATTGACAATAGATATTCAAACAGGTTTGTTGCAATACAACAAACATAGTCTCTTAAAAACTAATACAAATATGATTAGTCTAAAGGAGATAAATAAGGAATATAGGCTTGAACCAAACTATCTATCCAAAGTGATTGCTACCATTAAGGATCGTATCCGTAATATTCATGATATCCCAGACCTTTGCAGCTACTATTTTATTGAACCCAATTATGAATCCAAGGATGCAGTGACCCTCAGAAACAAGCTAAAGCAGCCTGCGATAGGTAAAACAGACTATTGTATAACCTTCTTCTAGCTTACCTTTTGTTATAGATCTTGTAGCGACAAAAGAATTTAAAGAGCAACTTGATCTGCTACCATTGTTTGATGCTGAACATATCAAAAAACATGTTTATGAGTCGGCTGATCGAAATAAGTTAAATCCTAACCATGTCATGATGGCATTACGCTACTTCCTTACTGGATCAAGAGTAGGTGCAGGTGTAGCAGAAACAATGGAAGTTTTGGGTAAAGACACTGTAATGCAAAGATTGGGCATCCACAAATAAAATTTAAGTTTCTCATTCAGTCTATTATTATTCACAGTCATTAAAGAGAGAGAGAGAGCAATTAGTTTTTATTGGATGCAATGTATTCTCTAATCCAACTAGAACTAATCTTTAACACCGACATTTCCTTCTCTTCTATCGAATTACTTTCGGATGATATCACATCAATGATACGAAGCTCTAAAGGAGGGTATCCTCTCATATCTCTTTCATTGTTCACTAATTCACCTCCCTTGAGTGTTTCTTTGGAAACGACCAAACCATCAATCGTCGGATCTGTAACTGTAGGACCAAATGGATCGGTAATAGGCACAACTTCATATTGAATACCTCGTTTGACAGAATGTAAGTAATCTTGAACAACCCTCACTCGTTTCATGGTTGGAGCAATCAAATCCTTGTGCTTCTTTTTTTGTAGCATGCAATCATCTACAAGGAGCTATCATTATTGTTGGTCTCTCTTTTACTTTCTCGCTTTTACCTGTCACTCCAACAACCATGCTCTTGTCTGATAGCAGTGCTGTCATTGTCAACAGTATCTTGTGTCCAGCATGAAGATGATCAAACGTGCCTCCAACAGCAACACGTTGGAAGATACGAGGCTCAATAGGCCCCTTTCTCTTGATTTCCATAGAATGAGATGATGGTTGAGATAGATGTAAAATATGCTTATCTAACAACCCAAGTCCTTCTGCTTGTCTTTGCTGATTCCATGCGTCAATTTTAGTACTATCTGTTATATATATATAAAGACATGTTTTTGCCTATTTGTTCCATTATCTTTTTCAAAATTGCCTTACCTTTCTCTGCAACACATACTTTTGTCAAGTTAGGCTCCAGATAGACACTATAACCACAGACGTCCTCAAAGACAATATTGCAGTTGAATAAAGGACTATCAGCCTTATAGGCTACCTTGATTTGAGCAACATAGGCGTGACCCAAAAACGTCTGAATCTTATCCCAAATGGCATCAATACAACCGAGATTGTCCTTGATTTCTTTACTTTTGATGCCAACTACAAGTTGAGCGGCTTTTTCATTAATGGCCAATGCTGTTGCTTGTTGTAACAAATCATAGTTTGGTTGATTTAACTCTTCAAGTTCCAAGGCTAAATAAATGAAGGACATGTGAAATGACGCACTGCAGTAATGAGAAGAAAAAGTGCCCTGCAAGTCTTATTCGGACATTAAACATGAGCGCTTTGATGTACACGAATGTGGGCCAATCTACACAACAGGAAAACAAAAAAAGCGGGGTAAAGTATATTGAAAACTATGTACAGGAACTTTTATTATTATAATATTTATTGAATATACACACATATGCAAAAGTATAACAGCTTAGTTCATGGATTGAACCAAGTTGTTGATGAATTGCTCACGGTTACCAGCATCACCACCTTCAATGAAGTGGTTGAACTTTCTGCGCTTCCACATGTTGTTGGGGTTAGAAAGCTTGAAGGGCCACAAGAAGTTGTTGGCTTCCTTGAAGTGAGGACCAACAGTTGCAATTTCGTGAATGAGATCTTCAACACAGATGATACCGTATTTGCCAAGAGCTTGTTCGATAACAGCATTGTCATGGATGGGGATGCGTTGACCGTTGAGCTTGGCATATCCACGCTTGTAGATCAATTCACGAATGGTCTTCAAGTTGGGAGAACCGTAGGTGACATAAGGTTGAACCAATTGAAGCATCTCGGAGGTAGCCTTGTTCAAACGGACAAAGACACCGTTGTTGATTTGCAAGAGACGCAAGAGTTGGAGAACCTTACGAGGCTTGGGGGCAATATTGTTGATACCACGAATACGGACAACAAAGACCAACTTGTCTTGAGGAGGAACATAGTAGTTACCGTTGGTCTTGGCTTGACGACGGAGAGCAATTTCCTTGCGTTCAGTAGCCTTGTATTCAGCATGGTACTTGGCGGCACGCTTAAAGAGTTCGCGTCTTTTGGTAAGTTTAGCCTATATACAAAGTAAGTAAATCATATATGATTAAAAGATTTGTTTTTCTCATGACATCAGCCCCGAAAGATGGTTAACAGTTAGGCATCACTGAGTGCAATCTAGCCAACGAGTGGGTATAGCCCATATCATCATAAAAGTCATGAGGAAAACATTACCAATGACTCACCTTGCGAAGCTCGGCCTTGGCAGCAGCAGCTTTCTCAGCAGCTTGAGCATCAGACTTTCTCTTCTTCAAGAGAGTTTCGGGAACGAGAACATCCTTAGAGGTGGGAACAGTGCTATTGTAAAAGGTCAACGTCGTGGTTCCCTTGGTACAAAATGTTGTGGTAGCAACACAATTTGGACCAAAGAGTTGATAAAAGCGTTTTATCTGGAAAGTGGTGACAAATATATTTGATAGGAGCATAAGTAAATTACGCAGCCTACATAACCGATGATACATAGTACCAAAGTGGAGTCAACACACATAAGAGTGCCAACAATAGAGGTAAATAGTACGTAATATACATTCAGAAAAGAACATGACTGTTCCCTAAATGTAGTTATACTTTCTGGAATTAAGAGTAAGAAAGGTCTAATAAAAGAACTTCCTATACTCCAACACCCTCACATATGTTCCAAGGGGAGGTTGTCAGATTCCCCTGTCAATGGAAGCCGTGAGGTGATATAGACGAAGAACTCTGTTTTTAGGAGAGAACATCGTTTATGGATAAAGACAGAAACGCGCGCCCTTTGATCTTTTTGAATAGAAATGAATTTGAAAATAACTTACTAGGCCATATTCTTTGTGTGTAAAAAAGTAAAGAAAAGAAAGAAAGAATATCCACATGGGTTGCTGCCCTATAAATTGGTAACAAAAAATTTTTTTCTTAAAAAAAAACAGTCATACACGGGGACTGTATATCAAACAGACACACACCTGAAGAGTCCTTGGCTCATAAAAAGTCCTTTTACGTGTATACCTAATGAGATAAAGACTAAGGATGTGATTATAAGGCTTTCTAGTTACCCTTTATTCTCACTAATACAATGTAATAAAAAACTTTTTGTTATTCCTTTACATCTTTCGAGCAGTACATCTGTGTGTAGTTTGGAGATTGGTTGCAGGGAAGGGTTTAAAGCAGTCTTCTATGCCATAGTGAGAGGAGCCACTATAATCTTAGTCTTTGCTTAGGCAACATAGTCATTGTGGTAGGCATGACCCACAGTTAGATAGTGACACCTTTTTTTTAGACACAAAAGTGCCATCCTGAAAATGCACACTATTGTTGGCATATGCTTATTTTTTGGTGCTGGTCCCATTTATTTTATGAAGAGTCTCATTTTGTAAACTTCGGACTGGTGCGATAAGATCAAAAAAAGAACTGAAATTTTTGTTTTTATCATGTCAAATACACCAACTTATGCTGAGCCCGAAGAGGTTATGGCTCTTGTTCGTGATCCAAACAAGATTGCTGGAAAAGACTATGTTATTATAGATGTCAGAGGAGATGACTACATCGTAAGTCTACATTCTGCATTCTTTTATCCTTTATTTTTTCACTCATCTCTTTGTTTAGGGTGGACACATTCCAGGCTCAGTTAATGTTCCAGCAGGAAGAATATATGATGAAGTCAATCAGCTAATAGAAAAGTATTCACAAATCCCTATCATCTATTTTCACTGTGCTCTTTCTCAAGTGAGAGGTATAAAAAAAAGCCAAGAAAAAGCAAGATGTCTATAAAAATAACTATATATTTATCAATATACAGGCCCAAAGTCAGCACGAATCTATAGTGAAACTTTACAAAACTTGGGAGTCAAGACAGACCAAAAGGTAAAGCATAGATCAAAAATATAAAAGGCGTGATACTTAAAAAGTAAAATAGGTGAAAATATTGAGATATGGATTTGAGGGATGGCATTTAAGATATAAATTAGAAAAAGACCTCATTGAAGATTATGATGCATCTGTGTGGGAATGGGCAACTTAATATTTACATGGACCATCTTTATTTTATATGTGAAAAGGTTCCTTCTTTTTTGATGTTTTCTCTCTTTTACTTTCTAATCAACAAATAAATATTTTCGCCCACTGTCAAATTCTGCAAGTGTCTGTAATCTCCTTCTAAGCACATCAAAAGTCCTCCAAAAGATACATAGACAGCACTAAAAAATAACTATGAATGACGGCATACTTTGGTATGATATATACATCACTTACACTTGTTGACCAGCTGCGCCCTTGTTTGAATCTTCATATCTATAGACCTTACCAAACATCACATACTCATACTCGTCACTCAAATCACGTTCTCCTGGTGCTCGTTCACGCCAGCTTTCTTTCTTTTCGACACCACTTGTGCTTGCTGTAGCTTCGAGGGAAAGAGAAGAGGCCAAGACAAGTGAAAACTTTTCTCCAATCTTTAAAGGATAGATTTCAGCATTAAAGTCTAATGTCAAGTCCATTTCATAGTTTTCAGAACGGGCGACAAGGCGCGAAACTATAACCAGCATTTAATAGAGTTTTCATTTCATTCTTTTTTATTTATTACCTCTATCAAATCGCTTTCCTTGAGGGTCAAGATCTCTAATATCAAAAATATCTTGGAATAATATGCTTTCAGAGGACATGGCTTAACAGAGAAGGGAAGGAGAGAAAAAGTATTTTTTTTGTCTAATAATAATAAATTAACAACAGTCACTGGTGTCTGTACCCAAGAGACACACACAGAGAAGAGAGAGAGGCGGTGATGGCTTAGAGTGCACCCCCTCTTTTTTTTGTGTACAATGCAGATTGATCAAGACAAGGTAAATATGATTATATATACAAAGGCTCTTGTTTTTTCTTATCAATAAAACAAAGGTTAAAAAGGCGTTTAAAGCTTTGTATAAACATGAAAGTGGAAATGAACAAGAAGAAATTGTTTGGTTAATGATTTCAACATTTGAAAATAACAATTCAGTGAAAAGAAATCCTGCAAGAATGTAAGCAAGCGTATATATACTTTATAAACATTTTCTAATTATGACTAGTTTATTAAAACATGGCTGTCATGTACCAGGTGTACGTCGATGTTTATTTGTGAGGGCTTCTCAACAGTCCTATAAAGACATGATTAAAGAAAAGAAGATTAGAGGGATCCATAAAGTGATTGACCTAAAACACTTGAAAAAACAATACCCAACCCTTGAAGCACAACAAAAACTGATGGATGAATTTGACATGTTTTTAGCTGACAATTACACCATTCATAGATTACATAAAGTATTTTGCAAAGAAGTATACAAAAAGAGAAGAGAACCTATGCCGATCAATTTAAAAGCAGAGGATCTACAAAAGGAAGTCTTATTAGCAGTTAAATCGACCTTTATGAACTTTATGACCGGATCATGCTATGCTGTCAGGATAGCAACCACCGGTCAGACTGATACAATTGCCTATGAAAATTTCATGTCTGCTTATAAAAAGATAGCTGTGGCCACTCCAGGAGGTGAAGAAGCGATTAGATCGCTACAGATCAAAACTGCCAATTCAACGAGTTTACCTATTTATGAAGCTTCGTTAGAATAAAAATGGGAACGTTAAATTGCCACTGCAATTAAGAAGTCACAACTCGATCTATTGAAGAATATTAGTAGCATCAATAGTACCTGTGCTATTCTTAGCTTTCCTCTTATCGGTACCAGCATGATCACACAAATAGAAGGTAGTGTGAGCTGACAAAGCTTCAGGAATGAGCTTCCCGATGAACTGGAGATTGCTTGTAACGGGATATTGTCGTTTAAGACCCACTTAGCATGCGAGAACGCGTCCTTTTTGAACCATTCCTCGAACTTATCAGACGTAGCAAATATAACGGTCTGAACACTTTCCTCATAGCCGGGAACAGTAGGGCAAACAAAATTAACAGTAATAGAGATGGAAGTACTTTTAAAGTTGGTAGAAATTTCAGTAGATGATGTATATTTAGTAACTGTGAGCTGTTATGGATAAAGGGTCATAAAATAAAAGACATTATTGTGACTGTTTTTTCCACAGGGCGATGTAACGTTATTCATGAATAAAAAAGCGTCGTACTTTAAATTGTCCTATCTGTCTGTCTATGTGTGTGCACGTCTCCCCTCGCTTTCTTTTTTTTTTTTTTTTTTTCTTTTGTTGAATGTTTTCTAGACGTCTTTATTCTTCTTCAACTCGTTTCCTTAAAGAATTTATGACGACACAAGAAAAGGGTCCAGTTCAACTTTCGATTGAATCAAAAGTAAAAAAAAGCAATAATTTAATTTTGCTTTTTATTAACATGATCTAGATTTCTCAAGCGCTGAATCCTTCAATTCTTGAAATTGTTAATGAATCTCACATGCATGCGCACCATGCTGCCATGAAGGGCGTTACAAGTAAAGAAACACACTTTAGGTAAGCGACTGTTTCAATAACAGAAGGGAGCGTGTTTATTCATTAGCATATAGAGTCACTGTTGTTTCTGATGAGTTTCAAGGAAAAGTAAGTATTGAAAGATATTCGTCAATCATGCATATTCATATACTTTTTTAGTCCCTGATGCAACGCCACCGTGTGATTTATAGTCTCTTGAACGATGAACTTCAAAACAAAGGTTTGCATGCTTTATCTATCAAAGCAAAAACTTCAGCAGAACTTGAAAAGCAATAAAAGTACACTTTATTCACAAATTATTCGCACACTGATAAAAAAAAAAAAAAAGATAATTCAGACAACAAAATGAGACAACAAATAATGATAAAATAGAGCTCATCAGAAGCAAAAGAATGAGATATAAAAGAAATGATTAGTAAATCAGTTATTAATTTGATATTAACTACTTACATTATAAAGAAGAGGGTTTATAAGAGAAAAAAGGAGCAAGCAAGAGACAAGAGAAGAGAACAAGAAAGAGAGCGGATGAGACCAAAGTTTGGTAAGAACCAAACTACCCCCAGCTAGCACCGGTACTGGTTTCGATTTTATGAACTATAGTATTACATATCAGTTTCTTACAAGAGTAAAGAATATAACATACCTTAGGACTAGCTGGGGAATAGCTGGCCTTGCTTTTTGGTCCAAAGAAGAAAAGAAAAGGAAAAGAAGTTAAGATTAGACTATTTAAACAAGGTCTTTAACAACGTTTTCAGTTACGTGTGCTATTTATCAGTGCTGACCACATTTATCTTATATATAACAAAAATATCAAGTTCATTGCCTTTTTAATAATAAAGAAAAGGTTAATAGCCAGCTAAAGTGTAATTGTTATTGATCTTGTAATGTGCGAATAATTTCTGAAAATGGTATATGAAAATCTGATAAAGAACCACTACGTGCGCACCGTAGAAATCTGTGAGAAGTCGCATTAATGTAAAGTCACACTGATAACCTTAAACCCCACACACTTTCTTCTTTTTACGATTATCTAAATGCATAAAAGAGATAGAATGAATCTTTATTTGCTCAAGGACCTTAACCAATCTGTCCAAATGCTAGTAGATATTTTGTTTATGGATTTATTATTATTTCTAGCATGATATCTAATATGACCCTTTTTTCAAAGAAAATGATCAAGTGTGAGTAGAATAAAGATGAGAAAACAGTGTCCTGTTGATATAAAAAATAATGTTTTATTTATTCTTTTTGAAATAAAGCAAACATATTTTCATATGACCACGATAATAGTTGGGCGTGTGAAACAACGCAGCCCAGAAAAAGGGGGGGGTTGTCAATCTAGATCAAATAATAACAACGAATAAGATAAAGAGATATTTAATACAATTGTCAAATCACGCATAAAAGGTTTAGAGTATATATATTTTTCACTTTTGCTTAGCAGCGTATAATTGGGTATACATTCGAATGAGACTTTCATAACCAAGCTTATCATTGCATCTTAAAAGATTAGCTGCATCACAGTTTAAAGGTGAAGATGGCTCTGGGTTAGTAAGCAATAAGGTGATAGCCAAGACAGTCGATCTAAGTGTCCAAGCGGGTGACCAATCCGTTTTTAGAATATCCAAACAAATCTCGCCTGTCTTTATAATGGTGGGGACTTCTTATTATCTGATTTTGGGGTAAAACAAAAGGATATAACCATGAACCTTACCTTGAAGTGGATGTTGGGGTGACAAATGGTAGTCACGAACCTTATGTTGGGAGGGTGAATTGGATAGTTGGAAGGTATCTTTATAGATAATTCGAATTGGCCGCCTATAATATGTATGTCAGCTTTACCTCACGATAAAGCATAAAAAGTCGCACAATTTATATTTTACCTTCATAGGGTGTATCTGGTAGTCCTGCAATAATAGCCTTCCAGTGTAGCAAATCATCATCTGATATAGGAGCTAATTCAATGATCTGAGGATGTGAAGCTGCCTCTTTATCTATTTCTCGAAGCTCTTTCAAGAGTCTTTTAGATACAGCATTCATGTTTAAAGAAAAAGAGGAAAGGAAAAGGGTATTGTGGTAATCTGAATCAGCTTAAATTTATATCGAACTCCGATAGCGGTATTTTTTGTGACGCCGTCAACGTCCGTTGATTGAATAACTATTTCTTTTTGCAAGATGAGTATTGCTGATGCCTTTGAATGTACCATTGTAAGCAATTATTCGCATAATATAAAACTTGTTTATTTTATAACGGCGTGTCTTTTTAGGATTTTGATGGACAGCGTCTGGTAGATAAGTTGATGCACATTTTGTTAATAGTTACTGGTGTAAGCATAATAGCTCTTGTCTTTTTTGTTTTTGTGGTTGACATAATCACATATAGATCATAAGCTTCGTGTCTGGTTATTCTACACAATCACTTCAAGTACTCTTGATTGCATTTGCATCTGGATTAGGTGTCACTGCATTGGTAACTCGTCAAGTTCAACATTTGCATAATACTGATACATTTCTGTTTCTCAAAAGGCGGTTATTCCTCCATGGCCAATCTATAACAAGCATCCTCAACCATTTATCCAAAATGATACCAAAGAATGATGATGACAATAAAAAGAAAGAGAGAGAAAAAGAAAGGGGGAACTATACAAATAGACTGTGAATAGATTATATCAGCATTAGTTTTTACTGCATATATGATTAAGGAGAGAGAGATATAGGGCTTGAGATTTTTAAAGGTTATAGTCAACCTTTTCTCGGTTATCCTTTATTGTTGTATAAATAACAACTAGAAAAAAGGGGGAACGAGGAGGAAGAAAAGGAGGGACAATAAAGGCTCATAAAAAACTTTATTTCTCATATTATTAAACCCTTTCTTCTATTTTCTTTTTTCTCCTTAACAGTTTACACAGACACTCTTCTCTCTCTTTCCCTCCTTTTTTTTAACTGCTGTGTTGCTTTTAAAGTGATCATCCCTATCCAACAGCCCCAGCCTTGCAACATCTTGGCCCCCTTACTCTTTCCTTAAACCTGTATTGTCCAAATTCCTCACACATTAATTTTTTATTATTTCTTTTTCTTTAATGCTTTTATATATTGTTAGCTTCAAGTGGCGACCAGCAAAGGTCATTATTGAAAATGAAAATGTGTTTGTGACGAACCTTTCTTCTATTGTATGTGTCATATAATATCTAAAAGGGTTTATATAACTAAAGTCATAAAGCTACCAGACACACTAGCTGAGGAGCGGATAAGGCAGCTGAAGCAGATAACCAAAGAACGGTGTCCATCACAGTATATTGATTTCTACATATTTCTAATCGCTGTAACCTGTATCATATGCTCAGCCATGTTTACATTCATTGCGCGCTCATTAAACATTTCCATGTGGTTTCCATTGATCCTATTGATTATCCCGACTATCCTAAGCTTTTGGACAAGCAAACGAAGGAAACGGATGTATGGAGAGATAAGAGAAGTAAGTTAGAAACACCTGAATGATAGTCAGATATAAAACTAAAAAAACAAGATCATTTTTATAGTTTGAAAGACAAGTAAAGAAAGCACTAAGTGAATTTACAAAGCATGACTGTAGTTACTTTATCGTCTGGTCTTTTGAAAAAATGCAATTGGATAAAGCACCTTGTAAACACCTACAGCTATGCTTTATGATTCGCGTCATACAGCTTGATCCTGAAATGGGATTGCAGTACAGTAGTAGTAGTAATAGTAATAGTTGTCAGTCAAATGAAGAATTACCCACCTACAATACTGCTATCCTTTATCCTTCATCTACTTTTCAACCACCACCTGATTATGCCGATATTGCCCAATTAGATCCTGCTCACGTTCATTAATAACAACAATAAAATAATATATATCGTTTTCAGAAATTATTCGCACATTACAAGATCAATAACAATTACACTTTAGCTGGCTATTAACCTTTTCTTTATTATTAAAAAGGCAATGAACTTGATATTTTTGTTATATATAAGATAAATGTGGTCAGCACTGATAAATAGCACACGTAACTGAAAACGTTGTTAAAGACCTTGTTTAAATAGTCTAATCTTAACTTCTTTTCCTTTTCTTTTCTTCTTTGGACCAAAAAGCAAGGCCAGCTATTCCCCAGCTAGTCCTAAGGTATGTTATATTCTTTACTCTTGTAAGAAACTGATATGTAATACTATAGTTCATAAAATCGAAACCAGTACCGGTGCTAGCTGGGGGTAGTTTGGTTCTTACCAAACTTTGGTCTCATCCGCTCTCTTTCTTGTTCTCTTCTCTTGTCTCTTGCTTGCTCCTTTTTTCTCTTATAAACCCTCTTCTTTATAATGTAAGTAGTTAATATCAAATTAATAACTGATTTACTAATCATTTCTTTTATATCTCATTCTTTTGCTTCTGATGAGCTCTATTTTATCATTATTTGTTGTCTCATTTTGTTGTCTGAATTATCTTTTTTTTTTTTTTATCAGTGTGCGAATAATTTGTGAATAAAGTGTAATACCCTTATCTAACACATACACAAAGGAATGGGACATTTTTTTCACGACTCTATTCATTCTGCATATACCACTGCCCATGCTACTTTTACTAATCAATGGAATAATGTTGTAATAAGCACTCAAGATCTGATGACAGACAAGTTCACATTAGGATGTATCCTTGCCATCTTGATTGCATCAAGTACTGCCATTTGGCACATTTGGGTTGATCCTGGTCAGAATGAAGAATGATTTGCAAGTACATGGAATAGGAAAGGGAAGGGGGGGATAAATTTCAATAAATAGTTTATTTACACATCTATCTTATTCACAGCCCTCTTCTTTTCTATTTTATTTTCGATTAAATGTATTATAATAACTGTGATGGTCATAGTAGGGTTGATAATTATTGCCATAATATGGTTGCTGATAGTACACTTGCATATACTGTTGTTGAGGATCGGGTGTAGGATAACCATAGACGCCTTGTGGCATACCTGCATTAGGATAGACAGGCATCATCATGCTGTAATCCACAGAGTATGTCTGTGATGGCGGCTGGTAATAATATCCATTCTGTAAAGGTGTAGAAGCTTGTGATGCATAGGGTGGCGGTTGATGATAGTTGTATGTTTGCTGTAACTGCTGCTGATAGTTATTGTAAGCCTTCAATTGTTCATCATTCTTTGGAGAGCTTATGAAGGCTTCTTCTAATTTGGACTCCTTTTGATGCTCTTCCTCATTTGCTGTTAGTGGCTGGATGCTACTAGTGTCTCCATGACGGCTGTTGTTATCATTGGTCATCAGCTTGAGTTGACCTTGTTCAGTCGCATCTATTGTTCTATTATCGGTTTCTATTTTTTGGACCTTTTTATCCCTCCTTTCCTTCTTTATCGGTTTCTTTACGTTTTTGCTTCTTTTGCCCTTTTCATCTTGACTTAGCTTGGATGTTTCTCCCTTTTCATCTTCATTCACAGGCTGCTTTTGTTTTCTTTTCGGTTTGGGTCTTAGCTCGGCTTGATTTGCTAAATCTTCATTCACCTTTTCTTCGCCCGGCTTTGTCTCAGTCTGCTTTCGCTCTTTTGGCTTTCTTTTAGTGCTTGGTCGTTGACTGCCTTGGGCATCTAAACCTGCTGTCACATCTTGTTTCTCCTCTAGCTTGCTATCCTTTTTAATCTTCTTCTTTGTAACAAATTTGGGTTCCTTTTCTTCACTTTTTTCATCATTATTTTTTTTATCACCATCATGTTTTTCCTCAGGCTGCTTATCATCCTTCTTCTTTTCTTTATCTCCTTCTATTTCGACATCCTTTTTATCAGCCTTCTGCTTTCTTGGTTTTTTCTTTCTTTCTTGCTTCTCTGCTGGCTTTTGAGCATCAGCTTGACTGTCATCCTTTTGTTGCTCCACATCCTCTGAAGGCTCTTTTGTCGACTCTGTTGTTTCTTGTGAGGGCTTTTTTCGTGATGATATCTTCTTCTTGTTGATCAGCTTTTCCTTTTGATGCTCCTCGTCTTTCTTGCTTGATTGCTCAGCAGACTTTACGCCTTCATCAGGTTTTATCTGCTCTGCAGATTTTGTCTGCTCAATAGGCTTTATTTGTCCAGTTACCTTTTGCTTCTTTTTAGACTTTGCCTTGCCACTCTTTTCTTGTTTGTCACTCTGCTTTTCTTCTTCTTCGGCACCTTCTTCTTGTTTTTCATCCCCTTTCTTAATTTCAGCATTCTTTTCTGGCTTGTCATTCTGTTTTTGATCAACTAGGCTCTCTTCAGCGTGTTTAGATCTCCTTTTGCTACTACTTTTTACTGTTTTTTCTTTATTTTCCTGTCTTTTCTTTGTCTCTTTTCGTCCTGTCTTTTCTTTATCCTCAACTATCCTTTCGTTGGATGACTCTGGCTCCTTCTTGCCTCTTTTGGGCTGTTTTTCTCTCTTTTCTCTCTTTTCTCTCTTTTCTTTCTTTTCCCTCTTTTCAGTTGAATCGATGTCAGTTTGCTGTTCTTCTTTGACCTTCTTATTACTTCTTTCAGTCTTTGACTATAAGTTGTGTGTGAGCAATGACTAGATACACATGCGTTTTATCTACCTTCACTTTGAATGGTACAAACATGGGTGGACCATCCTCTTCATGTTTCTCCTGTGATCGTCTTCCACGATGACTCTTTTTTTTTATCATTAATATAAGGATCTATTTACCATTTTTCACACAAACCTTTCCAGCTCTCCATGCTTGCACAAGCTCAGTAACGTGTCCTCCTAGATTCTCTAGCATGCCTGGTCCAAGCAAGAGTATATTGTCTTGTATAGGAATAGGCTTCGTCACTAAAAGTTTTGTACCAGGAGGCGTTTGAGGTCTATACAATCAATATATAAGCTTTCTTTTCTTTTTTATAAAGCATGTGTTTTTACTTTAAGCATTCCACTCGTCCGTTCATTTCTACTGCTTTCAATTTTCGCCTTGTTCCATCAGTCAATATGACCTGCAGTAATCTAGGTTTGTCACTTTGATTGACAGAAGGTGTTGCGATATTACGAACTTCTATTACTTGAAGAACAACCGGGCTAGGAATTTCTTTTAATTTTTCGTTTGTTTTGTTGAAGCCCTGAACGGTTAAAGAGCAAAGGTCGATCTATTTTTTGATGAATATATTTGTGTAATGTCCATTATTTGAATTCACTTACATCCTTGGCATAATTAATATAGTCCTCTATCGTCTTTAGCCCTTCATTTTCAGCAGAGATCAGCTCGATTCCTTCTTCGGACAAGTACCATCCTCTACTTTCAAATTCTTCGATAGACGGACGTCCTATCATTATTATTTATTTCTAGAATAAAAAGGAAAAAAGAAAAAAAAGCGGAAAGTAAAAACAAGATGGGGTTTTATTTATGCAAGACGTTTAGGCAAACCCTCGGCGTTCAAGAGTGAATCAGCTTCAGACAGCACACGAGGTCCATCGTGCACCTTAGTATGAAGTAAACGACTGACACTGCCCGCAGGTTGAACAGGGATGACCTTTTCGTTAAAGTTGGTGTGTGTCTTGGGGATAAAGTCTTGGCCGAGCTTGGTTCCTTGAGCGACGTTATAAGGATCAGCGAAGAACTCGGAGAGTTCCTTGTTGCTAGGGAAATAGTGACCGATCAGTTGAATGATTTCGGGCATATGTTCCTTGGAAGCGTAAATGACCGCATTTGGCCCGGCATCATAAGTATAAGCGGCCTTTAGTTTACCATCAGGGGAGGAGGCGTTGTATTCATGAATAAGCTGAATGATAGCACGAGAAGTGTCGTTCATATAAAAGATGGGTGGATAGGTATCGAGACAAACAGCATGGAATTGATTAGAATCTCTCATGGTCAATTCGGCAAATGTTTGAAAGTCTCTTTCCAAGATGGCCTTCTTCATAGCTTCCATACGAGCAGGAACAATCTGGTTGATACGCTCGTTCATCAAGGTGCTCGTCTTGATGGTACTCTGCATACCGGCAGTAGAAGAAGTACCCTTCTTTGCGTCAGAAACAACGCAGATCAGGGCTTCTAACTCGGGCCAATGAGATTCAGGTGCAACTTGGACAGCCACCGAATCTGATCCATCCTCCTTTTGACCCATTTCCCAAGCAACAAATCCTCCAAACAGAGAACGACAAGCGGATCCAGAGCCCTGACGAGCAATACGAGATACTTCAGAGGTTGAAATGGTCAATTCAAAGAGTTGAGCCAAGGTAAAGACAAGAGCAGCTAAACCAGAGGCAGAGGAAGCAAGACCAGCTGCAGTTGGGAAGTTGTTTTCGGAGCATACATGCAAGTGATAGGTTGAAAGAGGCTCAATTGGTTTTCCTTCAGACGCAGCCTTGTCTTCCATGGCCTTACGAATAGCACGAGTTTCACGGAAGCAATTGTGCATGCGCTTGTTTTTAGTAATGTCTTCTTCCTTGCCATTTAACCAGAGACGATCTTGAGTGTATTCCTTGGCAGCAGAAATAGTTGTCTTGCTGTGAAGAATATCTTGAGAGAGCGTAACAGATAAGGAGCTGTTGGTAGGCAAGATGAGCTCAGTGTCTCTTTTACCCCAGTATTTGATAACCTAATTAGAACAGATCAGGTTCATAAAAGAAGGATGTATATTTAGTGGAATCTTACAGCAATATTCACAGGGGCCGTGCAAGTAACCGTCTTCATGATGAGGAGAGATGTAAGATGAAGATGAAAGAAAGGGGAGTTTTTGTTCCTGTCTCTCCTCGCGCGTCAATTTACTGCTTTTTTTTTTGTACACCTTCTTTGGATTTAAAGACCCGATAAATAAAAGACAATTGTGTATCTTTTACCCACCAAAGTAGAATATGCAGGAGAAAAACAAGGAGAAATAGAAAAAAGAGGAGCGTTAAAGAGAAAGAAGAGAAAGAGAGGGGGGAGCCAATACATGTCCCTTCCTCCACACCCCCTGCTGTCAGATGTTGTGTAATGAAAAGGATTTATTGATTCAATACACGCTTCACCAGAGTCTCAATTCCTTTATTATTCTTGATGGCATCTTCTATACTCTTGAGAGCATATTTAGCGAGCATATCTACTTCCACATTCACTCTGTCCCCAATCTTCTTCAAGGGCATGATAACATGAGTTTGGGTATGAGCAATCATCATGATTGAAAAGGTGCGTTGATCATCATCAACATCGCACACAGTAAGAGAAGTCCCATCCAAGCAAATAAATCCCTTGGGAATGATATATCTCATCTTATCCTTGTCTTCTTCCTTCATTTGGAAAGTGAACCAGATAGAGTTTCCTTCAGGGCGAATAGAAACAATTTCAACAGTAGTATCAACATGCCCCTGAACCATGTGTCCACCAAATCGTTTGTTAGAGTCCATTGCTCTTTCCAAATTTACCTTGCTTCCCACACTGAGGTCGCCTACGATAGATGTCAATATCAATAGAAAAAGAAACATTGTGTTTTTATATTACCCAGGTTTGTGCATCGTAATGTCTCTGGAGCAACGCCTACTTTGAACGAGCCCTTGTCGAATTCTGTCACTGTCAAACAAGTCCCTGTTGTATAATAATGGTCAGACGTCATTCTCTCTCTCTCTGTCCTTTTACCGTTAATGGCAATACTGTCACCAAGGTGGCAATCAGTTAAAATCTCGGCAGCGTTTGAAATGGTGAGAGTCCAACCGTTTCCTCCAGATTCAGAAGTATCAAGCTCCTGGATAGAAGAAACGAGACCCATATGTTCAACAAGACCAGTAAACATGATTGTATATTATCTTTCAAAAAAGAAAAAGAAAAAGAAAGCAGCAACATTTAAGCAGGTAAATCAACTACGTGACTGCTGATTATGCGAATACACATTTCTAAGCAGAACTATATGACTAAGCGTGGAGTAAAATGATGGATTTGTATTAATTGATTACAGAGTAAGGTAAAATATGTATATGCAAATAAGAAAGAAGTATGCAGATATAAATAATAGTCCCTTTACGCTTCCATAGGCTTCATCTCGGCTTTAGCAGCATACACTTCTATATCCTCAGAACGAATGGGTTCGTCTTCGTTACACTTTTGCCTCACAATAAACTTTCCTCTTTCTCCAACAAACACAAACACATAAGGGGCACAGACTAGTAGGAAGCATCCCATAACAAAGTTTACCCAAAAGAATCCAATCGCCTTGTACAAATAACCACCCAAGAAAGGACCAACGATACCACCTAGGGCAAAAGCAACATTGAACAACGCATAACTTCTACCTTGCCCGTCATCAGAACCATCTGGGTTCAAGGACTGAACGACATGTCCCATTTCGGACAAAACAGGCGTCAAGAAAGCAGCGACACAAAATCCCTGTATGACTGTCAGAATGATAAGTGGAGCAATTCCGCCCGCGGTCGACTTGTTAGGAACACCCATGAGTATCGTGGCCACACTGCCTATGATCCATGTAGGTATCACGACCACCTTGGCTCCCAACTTGTCTGCGAGATAACCAGCAAGTGGGGAAGCGACAAAGGTAGGCGCAACAGCAGCAATAAACACCACGCCGATTTGACCAGAATTGAGTCCCCATTCGGATGCTAATCTTACGTTCAATGTAGACTGATGAAGATTCAGCATCTGTTGAGCATAATGTGTAGTGTATCCTTACCTCAAGCACGCCCATGAGTGTACCATTTGAGAAAGCCATGAGCATGCCCGCCAGCAACCGGTGTTGTTTCAAGAGCATCCAATAGGTTACTACATCCTTCTTTTCTTCTGGGGCATCACTATCCATTGTCGCCGCGCGTGACTCTTCAATTCGTTGTTCGTTTTGTTTCATAAACCATTCTGATGGATTATTTTTACGTTCTACAAGAAACAACCGCAGCAGTAAATCAACGCCAGCTAGTGCAACGCAAAAGATGAATGGTGCTTTATATCCCCTTGTTTGGTAGAGTGCTATCAATAGCATGTATGAGATTTACTGTTTGTTTGCATTAAATGACGCATTACCTCCTATAAAAAAGATGTTTTTGGTTTAGCTGTGCTGCAATCATGTCTTTACTTCGAGAAAACCATACCTCCTATGGGTGCACCGGCAACCATGCCAACAGAATGGAACATCATAACTCGACCCATCTTTTTGTGTGTATTAGAGATATTCAAGATACATCGTATTCAATATTACCTGAGTTCCCAGTTCTTCAATAGGAAATGTATCGCTTATCAGACACATACCCAAAGTCCATACACATGCATCAGCTATTCCTTGCAAAAATCGAGCAACCAAGAGTTCCCAGTAATATTCGCTAAACATAAAGAGTAATGTTGATCCTATAAGGCCGAGAATACCAACAAGCATCAAGCCCTGGCGATGCTTTAATCGGTCACCTACAAGCGAAAGGATCAGTAAATGAGTGTTTAATTTCTATATATATAACAAATACCTAAATAACCGAAGCCAAGAGATCCCGCAATGAGACCAACAGAAAAAAGAGCAAGCAATGCACCTGATTGCTTCGAGACGTCCCCTGGATCGTGAAGCTCAGAGTGATATGGATCATACCCAGGATTATTCGGTGATCTTCCTCTCTCAATAGCATCGATCGTGAAAGGAACTATATACATGATGTTAACCATACCATAGATTAGTTGATCAAGACTTACTAATGGGAACAATAATACTATATGTTATCATCTGTAAATAAACAAGTACTTGTCAGGTCTAGTCATTGATCTGATACACACATAGTGCTCTCGATCTTACATCTGTAAAAAGTGACACGCACACAGTTGCAAGGATATAAATCTTTGATCCTCGAAAGCGAACAAAGATGGGTTTCCGTGTCATTTTCTGCTCTCAGGGAAAAGAAATGATAGAATTTTTCTGTAAGAAAAAAATAAATAGTCTGACTGTCGGCGGACATACCGAACTGAATCCTCTTCCTTTTAGGGCAAATATGGACAGTAGCAGATAACTGTTGTTACATAAAGCTTACAAAGTAAATCAAAATGCCCAAGACTTTAATAAAAAAAAGGGCGGCAGATGATCCTAGTTTCAATGCATTGACCCTGCAGAAAGATTTATAAAATATGTTGTTTATTATACTAGTGGCAGTGCTTCCATCAGATAAAATGGTGGTTTATATATCAACCTCCTTTAGATTTAAAGCAGCAATAACAGTGTAATAGTTACTGTTCCCTTTTTTTTTACTCGATAATTCATTGCTGTAAAAGTTTCTTTGTCATCAATAGCCTTCCTCATCTGATTGGCTGAAATTTACTTTTCCCCGACCTGCATCTCTATGTGGAAATCTCAAAGCTGATGCAGACATGCACTTTACACTTGCCACATAATGTCACTTTTTGACGACTTTTTAGAATCTACAGCTTCTACTTCAGTAGAAACGCAACCCATTCCTATACCAAAATCTAACAGAAAAGTACCAAGCATAAAAAGCACACGCACACGAATGGCTGATGCTCACATAATTTTTCTTTTATTGTATCTAATAGATATCTACTATTGATGAACAAGAACTGGAAAGCCAAGTATGGAAATCCCACCTTCAGCAAAAGAATTATGAAGCAGCACTTCAGTCGTGCAAGTTACCTACTCAACGAGCCCAAGTTTATGCAGTACGGGCGCAAGAAGAGTATGAGCAAAAACGATATTTGCAAAGTGCTCAGTATTTTGCAAAGAGTAACGTTCCGTTTGACCAAGTCGTGATCAAGTTTATTCAAAAGGGGGAAAAGGATGCACTTCGGCAGTTTTTGATTTTTCGAATAGAAAGACTTGATCCCAGTGTAAGTCAAGAGTGTCCCAGTTTTTATTTAAGGAATTTAAAGAGAATATCCAAGAGTAGAATCGTACTCAAAAGACACTTATTGCAACTTGGCTTGTCGAGATGTATCTGTCAAAAATGGATCAGTTGGATGATTTGATTGCATCCGCTAAAGGGACTCATGGCTCTGCTAGTCGGTCGTACAAATACCTCAAAGAAGAACAACAAAGCATCAAAGACGAATTCAGAAGCTTTATTGAGACATTTGGCACGCATCTACATGCATCTACTACATACAAGCTGATATCAAAGCATGGTCGTAACTCAGAATTGCTGTATTATGCAGACTATATTGGCGATGCAGAAAAAGTACTTGACAATTGGATCCGAGAAAAGGATTGGGAGAAGGCTCTCAACTTACTTGGACAGCAGGTAGTTCAACCTCGCACAGATGAACTTTATCTAATGAATGTTTAGGATAAACTAGACTTGATCTACAAGTATAGTACAATACTCATTGAACATGTGCCTGAAAAGCTGGTGGATCTTTGGATTGAACGACCTGTTTTGAACTCGAGATATCTTATTCCTGCATTACTACGATACAATCACTCAAATACAGCCAAAGAGGTAGAGATGGCAATGACGTATTTATAATGCTCAACCTTTTCCTTTGTAATAGAATCAGGCCATTCGATATTTATCCTACGTCATTTCTGAATTAGGGAATACAGACTTTATCATACATAATCTACTTTTATCACTTTATGCAGCACAGCCTAGTAGAGATGAGACACCGTTATTGGCATTTTTGAAAAACGAGGTGAGTGCAGATTGTTCAACTACGCTAAGATACTCATGATAAAAAGGGACGTGATATGTATTATAATCTTGATCATGCCTTAAGGGTATGCATTCAACATGGAAGAACCAGAAGTTGTCTCCATATCTTTGGCCAAATGGAGCTATATGAAGAAGCTGTCAAATTAGCATTAGAACATAATGACCTCGACCTCGCTCGTACCTATGCCGACAAACCCGAGGATGACGATGGTTTACGTAAAAGGCTATGGACAAGGATTGCGAAATACGTTATTGAAAATAATCAAGATATCAAACAGTAATTTACAGACACACATTTATATTTAGGAACAAGTTTTATATAACATTTTCTCTCTTAGCGCCATGCAACTACTAAAAAGCTGTGATTTACTTAAAATAGAAGATATATTGCCCTACTTTCCTGATCATGTTCTTATTGACAACTTTAAGAAAGAGATATGCGCGTCGTTAGAAGAGTACAATATTGGTATAGAAGAACTAAAGTCCGAAATGGATAATGCAACGGTTTGTGCAGATCATATCCGATTAGATGTAAAGAAGTTAAAGAAAAGGTAACCGGGAATTTCCAGAAAAAAACAGTTTGATCTAAAAACAGATACATTTGCAGATTTGCTGTTGTTGAGGATGAACAATCATGCAGTCTATGTCAATTTCCATTATTGACACGACAGTTTTACGTATTCCCTTGTCACCATGTATTTCATGCAGACTGCTTGATAAATAGAGTGACAAAGTATTTGCCAACTCGTGAAATAAGAAAGTTGGCAGATATTCAAGAACAGTTATCAAGAGAATACAAGTTGGCGAGAACAGGAACAGAAGAAGACGAAGATATTTTTAAACGAATCGAAAAACTGAGGTATCAGCTAGATAATATAGTTGCTAATCAGTGTGTTATATGCGGAGATATCCTCATCAATTCTATTCATATACCATTTATCAGTGAAGAAGAAGCCGAATATGCATTGGGTTGGGTTATTTAAAGCAAAATAAAGTTTTTATTTTATGCTAAATGCAGAGCAGATATTGAAATGATGATATATTTTTAGGCGGGAATAATTTGCCATTGTTGGTTAGTAGCAACAGAGCCTTGCTTCTTTTCATACAAGATGACTTCAGCACCATCCTTGTCTTCGCCACCCTTGATGTCCAAGACTAAGTTGGGGTTAGCAGCAGTATGGATATAGCCATTGGGGTCAAGATGCCAGGATTGGTTTTGGCTGTTTTCAGAGGCTTCCTTTGCATCATATTGAATAATATGAGCTATGAAAAAAAGATGAGTATTTATCATAATGACAAGATGTGTAGAGACATACCGTTGTGTTCAATCTTGTTACCCTTAACATCAAGAACCTTGCCACTCTTGACATTAGCAAAGTAACCGTGACGGTAGACCCAGAGTCTATCAAATAGCGCGTTAATGTATTTAATATAAACCAAAAATGAGTACATACTGATTTTCGTTGTCAGAGTTCTTCTTTGACCAGACGATGATCTTGCCACCGTTTTCAATGGAGCCACCAGCGACGTCAAGAACGCGTCCGTTTAACTAAACAACAGGATGAATATACTTGCTTTATCCCCTCCATATATACATTACCTTGGAAACAATAAAGAAAGGACCTTCAGGAATAGAGCTATACATTTTGATTTACTTTTTGATATAAAGACAAAAAAACAAGAGAGAGCAGCTTGTATTTATACATTTCAGGACCTCGGTTCTTGGATAGTTCATTTATATCATTATGACGTTCAAACTTAAGCACCTTCGCATGAAGTAATAAATTTGTTACTATTTATTTATTCCTAACTAAAAGTAGAATACATTTTTTTTATTTGGGGTAAGGAAAGGGGATACTTTTTCTATACAATTAAAGTTTATGTATTTATATGCGTGTGTGTAGAGTGTGTATTTAGGGGATATTGATGTGTCACAAATGCCAGAAATTTTTAATTCTTTACCATCCACGCTTAGCATACTTTTCATTTTCTGGTAAAGAGTCCAAGTTGATACCAACCATGGCTTCACCGAGATCTTCGGAAATTTCGGCCAAGACCTTAGGGTCATTGTAGTGAGTTACAGCTTGAACAATAGCCTTAGCACGCTTAGCTGGGTCACCAGACTTGAAGATACCCGAACCAACAAAGACACCATCGCAGCCCAATTGCTATATCCATATATAATTAACACACTATAATATGCACACATGTATTACTTACCATCATGAGAGCAGCATCAGCAGGAGTAGCAACACCACCGGCAGCAAAGTTGACAACAGGAAGACGACCGAGTCTGGCAGTTTCCTTGAGCAAGCTGTATGGAGCTTGAAGGTCCTTGGCGTAAGCATATAATTCTTCATCAGTCATGGAGGCAGCACGTCTGATTTCAGCATTGACGGTGCGAATGTGACGAACGGCTTCAACAACATTACCAGTACCAGCTTCACCCTTAGTACGGATCATGGCAGCACCTTCATTAATACGACGAAGAGCTTCACCAAGGTTCTTGGCACCACAGACGTAGGGAACCTTGAAGTTGTGCTTGTTGATGTGGTTGGCCTCATCAGCAGGGGTCAAAACTTCAGATTCATCAATATAGTCAACACCAACGGCTTGAATGATTTGTGCTTCGACAAAGTGACCAATACGAACCTTGGCCATGACTGGAATTGTGACGGCTTCAATAATTTCTTTGATCATCTTGGGATCAGACATACGAGCAACGCCACCTAGATATGGGTTATTAGAATGAGTCATGAACCACACCAATATATATAACTTACCATTCTTACGGATATCAGCAGGAACACGTTCCAAAGCCATGACAGCACAAGCACCAGCTTCTTCAGCAATTCTGGCTTGTTCAGCGTTAATGACATCCATAATGACACCACCCTGTCAAAAAAGGTTATTTTTTGTTCAATCTATAGCCCCACACCAGGGGGGTCAACTTACCTTCAACATTTGAGCCAAACCAGCCTTGATGGCGAAAGAATCTTGTTCTTCATTACCGTTAGGCTTATCGGAATGGAGGTTAGCGGGAACAGCAAAGGAAGCAGACATGGTTGTAAAGTAAAAGAAAAGGCAAGTTTTTTTGTGTCGAGTCCAAAAAATAGATGAAGATTTATAAATGACAATCGGAGACACTGGCCATGAATAATTTGGGCCCAATCATTGGACTAATCTCACGTGATTGTGTGAAACATCTTGATTGACTCATGGCTCACACTTCACTCTCACTCTTACTCACACACAGCACAAGTTACCGTTTATGACAAATGTTATTCATTTCGGATCAGTGAGATGGAAGATGTCACTTGATATTCATGATTATGTCCTTGTTACCGTAATAAAGATACACACCTTGTCAATTGGTTCATTAATTAACCGTCACTTTTCAGATGGCTGACTCTTTTTTTTTTTACTGCGTAAATAAGGTTCTTTCTTGATTTATTGGATTTCCCTGCATAAAGATTGGTGCAGGGACCTCATTTTGGTTTGAAATGTGTGATCGAAAATTATTAGATTGATCCTCGAAAAAAAAAAAAGCAAGTAAATCCATAAATAAACATTTGTTCTCCATCAGTGCGTGTGAGGGAGGACGAGGATCAGTGTGAATGATTTGTAATCCTCTTACTTTATAAAGAAAATACAAAAAGCTCGGGACAAATTGTACCTGTCATTTTTATGCTACGAGATACAGTGAGGATTTATGTGCAACTGTAGCGATCTTGTGATAGACTTTTATCATTTGTAGAAAATAGGCTACTGTAATATAAAGATTCAAAAGTTTATTAAAACTATACAATATATGAACAAGTTATTATTCCAAGCTGTACTTGCCACGCCAATAATCCAAGGCAAATTGAATAGATTTTCGAGATTTCGGAGATACCTGCAGCATTCCATTTAAAAGTACACGAAAGTCTTGGTTACTAATATTCTCTTCAATGGACTTGTCAATATAGGTTTGCAAAATAGGACCATCTGTCGCCATCAGGTTCTGAATATCTGAAACGCTGTCAAAAAGCAATAGACCGTTGGTTGCAACTGTATAGATAACGCAGCCAAGGGACCAAGTATCAGCCTCTGGTACGGGCTTATAAAGAAAACTCTTATCCGATAAGAATTCGGGTGGCGTAAATACAGTAGGCTGTTTGGGCAGTCCATGCTTGGTGATCAACGATTCCTGCTTTTGAACATAAGCAAAGTTGCCCAAGGTCCAGTCAGAGACCGAGGATTCATAGTAAAATGTCGTAGGATCGATCGCTAGATGTACAAACTTGTGTGTGTGAACTGCATTAACAGCGCAAAGTAATGCAAAAGTGGTCGATACTCTCTTATCACCGTCTTGATGGTCCACAGGCGACCACACATTTTCAAACATCAAATGGTGAAGTGAGAGTGAAGGTATGATAGGAGAAGTAATCCACAGAAACTGATATCCATATCTTGGCGTTGGTGAATTCAGCACAACAGCACGTTTACTCTTCATAATAAATGGACAGTCTTCCATTGAGGATACGGCGTATACCGACCGTATGAACGTATCTAGACGAGTGGAGCCAAAGTAATGAACCGTACAATATCTTCCGTCATCTGTCATAAACGTTCTTGTAGCATATCCTTCTTGTCCATAATAAATAACCTGTTCCTCTGGGAGCGACTTATAAGCGCCGTTAAAAAGCATCATGGGTCCATCTCGTTCAGGCTCCAATTCAAGCATTTCTTCTTCCGAGAGATGAGCAAAATCAACCACGTCTTCGACATAAGACACAGGACGTATATCGGGACGACCATCATTAAAGCCATGAGATTCAAGAACAGAAGTGGAAGAAGACATTGCAGCAGCAGCAATAGCAGCAGTAGCAGTCGTAGTCATCGTATCAGTGGTGGCAATCATTGTAACAGAGTCACTGCTAAATTTATTGTACTGCATCGTCATACGCGTATTAGCGGCAGCAGTCTGCATCAAGTCCTCCCCTATAAACACAGGTTCTTCCTCAAGCTTCTTTTCGATCTGGTGGCTGCGAGAAGTGAATGAACCAAAGCGTCTCAACTTTTTCGCTCTGAGGTATAAAAATATTCCTATTCCAATGAAAACAAAAGCGACAACACCAACGACAATACCTGCTATGACACCACCTGGCACATTTTTTCCTGAATGCGGAACTCCTGCTACCTCTGTGTTTGTAGGAGCAGGAGGCTGTGTGAAGGCTTCAGAATTGTTGTAGACGCCAATACCGTCAGAACCTTTGTCTATTATAGAAATCAAATTGATAGGAAGTTGTTGATCAGTGCCAGGCACGGCTACTACCGAAAGAATACACTGTCCGAGGGAGCAGTTCTCCTGTCCTGAGATAGTTATTGGAATCCGTTGAATCGCCCAGTCCATTGGTATGTCTCGTTTTACTGCGTTATCTGTCCAATGAGCCGTATCGTTAGAAGCAGGTTGTGTGGTCTTTGCGAATTGCTGTCTGTGTAAAGATGGGCTCGAATGCTTGGTTGGAGTGGCAGTATTCGCGCTCTTAACTGTGCTGGAAGATACCGTTGATGTTTGTGTGAGGGAAAAGGTACTTGCTAGGTTATTGTATAAAGGGGTATACTGAGTCAACGAAGGATTATGAATATAGATATTCACTTGATTGCTCTGCTTATCGTAATAGGTGATATATTTCGTCTGATTGTCACTTGATGATACTACACTTGTACTCGACACAGTGTTTATCGCAACAACAGATGAGACGCTGCTGAAAGCTCTAAATGTGCTGTAATCTAGACTTTTCAATCGATATTCTGATACAAGGCCATTCTGCAAAAGGTACACACTCTGCGACTCTACGTCTGCAGCAAGTATACCTGTCTGGTTTACAGACATTAATTTGTTGACCATCATATCTGGCGTGCCTAACAAAAGCGTATTAAGTGAAATGTCATCAGCACCATGAAGGCCATTGGACAGAAAGGCTATGTATGTGGTATTGGCACTGCCCATGTTTACGGCTGAAATAATCTGTGTGTCTGGTAGGTAATCTGTTTCGCTTATAATTACTGGTGTCATACTATTGAGTCCCAATCGAAAAAAGGCTGAGCTTACTGCTCTTTGGGCGGCATTACTATCTGATTGTCCTATTGAGCTGTTTGAGCCTGGGGGGAGTTATGGTGTGAGACAAGAAGTAAAAATAGACCATTAAGAGTACCTACTTTCAAATACTAACAGTATAGAGGAGCTTGTATGATCATATGCGCAAACACCGTTAAATACTGCATTCTCTGGGTATCCCTTAATATTTGACAGCAGGCTAGAATACACCGCAGTTTGCTGTGTATCAAAATAATGCAGACTGTATCCACTTTGATTTTCCTTAGAAATGAATATAACTCTCCCGAGATTGTATCCATAACAAGCTACTGTAGCAGAAGACATGATATTAATGATAGAAAAAAAGATGAAGAAAAAAGCCCTATCATTTACCACTTTTTATATGGGCTTAGATCCTTCTAGTATGAATAAATTTCTACTTTAGTCTCAAATTGTGTAACATGGCTCCAATGTAAAAATAGAACAGACAGCGCAGACAGTGTTTGGCTCAGCGTAACGGTATATTCTATATACTTCACTTTAAATAAAGGCCAGGCAGATTGTAGCTACACCACATATTACGCTATGAAATTGCTTTATTGAACCAACATCAGCATCACTTTTTGCTCAGTAACATCTTGTTCCAAATCATCTATAGTAGTATATAATGACTAGTTACTTGAGTAGTTGATCAGCAACAGTTTCCAGTTTGAATCTCATACACATTAAAAAGTTACTGTAAATCAAGGTGATCATTTGGAAAATAAATTTGCTTACTGTAGAATAAACACTTCCTGTTCAGGGATAGCCGCAAAATACTGCCTATGACTCATGACCTTTAGTGTTTTCTGCATATAATGCTGCCCATCGCAAACATCCTTACTGTGAAACCATCAAGATAGACTGGTGTGATAATCTAAGGCTGACACATCAGTATGACAAGCCAAAAGATACAAGAGCATCGTTGTTGTGTTTTAAGCGACAGAAGAGCAAGTCTGCGCGAATATCCTTAGAGCTTACAAGAACTTGCGACTGCAGGAACTTCCCCTCAGAAAGAGTTTTTTAGTCACGATTTTAAAGAGATGTGTGAAAAGCAATCATTATAAAAAAACTTGCCTCAAGCAATTTGAAATCAAAAATGGTAATACTGTACAAAAAAAAAGAGATCCTTTATTATGTCTATCCCTGGCTTTGACTTTTTTATTTTTAGAAAATATTCTATATAAGCCTTCTAGTATTTGTAAAAGTATGTATAGACTCGCTATAGTGCGTTTCTTTCTTTTTGTTTTGTTTTTGTTTCGGGTTGCCTCAGTCAGTGTGAGAAGATGCGGTTGATCTTTTATAGTCCACTAAAGATAGCAATGTTGTGAAAGGCTGCCATTTCCTCTTCTTCGACTGGAAGTGAATGTTTTTCCAAAAGAACCTTTTCGCTGGTGCGATCTGCGCTTTCCTTTTGTGTGTTGGACAAGACAGCTTTGAGTAACGTCTCTGCTGAAAAGTATGTCTTTTGTTCATTCACATGGCCAATACTTGCACCATCTGGCATAAGACCCAAGAACTCGAGATGTTTACAGTATTCAAAAAGTTCTGTGATATGTTGACTGGCCCAGGTTCGTTTGGTAGCAATGACGAGTGTCTTGAGTGCAAGAGAGGTCGCCATCTTGAGGGATTTGAGTAAACCTTCGGCTTGAAAGTGAACCTCACAATTGACAGATAATTCTTCCAAATAAGGGCATTTTGTAATGAGTTGGCCGAGTGTGGTGGAGTCTAAGGAGATGAAATTGGTCAATTGTTGAGTGTCGCCAATAAGCCTTAGACTGCGCAATAATAACGGCGTCTTTTTCTTTTCCAAGGGGATACGAAACGAGTGCTCGGATAGTGTCAGCCATCCACAAATGGTCAATTCTCTCAGATTGGAGCATTCCAGTAAAAGGTATTGTATCACATTGTCACGGACACCGCATATATGTATCTTCTCAATGACAGCCAGGTGAGGTTGGAGAATGTTCTTCAAGTCTTTTTGATTCCACAGAAAGGGTGATGTGTCGTGCCTCATGTCATCCTTTGGGTCCAATATGATACTCTTCCAGTGTGCTGGATGGTCAGACATGTATCTAAATTTTTTAGACACATTTCGTACTCTTGAAAGGTCAAAGGGTGATAGACTAGATAGGATCTTGTAAAGTATTTCGTTTGGTATAATAGAAATGTAATCAGTCATTTTAAGTTATAAAAGGGAGAAATAGAATGAATATAAATTTATATTTTCTCTCCCCCCGTTTTTATAATCAAGTCATCAAGGCGCTTTAATATTTTGGCAGGCCGGCAGCTGCCGAGTTGTCTGATATTTTGCTAAACCATTCAGCCTGTGAGAATATTAAGTATTCACTTATATTGGTTTAGTTCACTTGTTGATGATTGGCCGCATAAGATCAACATCCCTGTTTTTGACAAACAAAGCGTTTCACATTTTAATCTCTCAATTTGAAAGGCAGTCGGTCTTTTTTTTTGATCTTGATTTGATGATTTGTACACATCAAAGAAACAAAAAAGTGAATTAGAAGATTCATTGGTAAACATTCATAAAGGGAAAGCGTATCATTGTGTAAGTTCTATAGGTTCATGTTTAATCTCCTTCATATTGATATATACACCCTCAAATAGAATGTTGAACTCGTCTTTCTAATATGCTTGCCGTATGACCGCGCTTCAAAGATATCAATCATGACCCACCCAACCGTCAAGCTTTCCGTTGTACAAGGGGGCATCTTGCATACTTTGGGAATGTCGAAAAAGCTTGGCACTGCTAAAAACCTGCTAGAAACCTGCTGATAACTCTTTATTTGAGAAGAAAAAGGCTTGCCACAAAAAATCCACCTGATTCATCTGTAAATCTCTCTTTTTTTTTTCTTTTTCCTTTTTTTCACTATCAGATTAGTTGATATTCGTGTATGGTTCCCGTCTTTCTTTTTAATTGAGAAGATATATTAAGCTTTAAACCATTTCATAATGTGCATTACGACAAGGTTTAACCGCTGAAAACTCAAGATGGCATATATGTATGCTGATGCATTGCTACTGCTCCGTCAAATGATACACACTATATTTCTCATAACTACTTTTGTATTGAATACATTTGATTGCTAAGAAAGTCATCACGGGCAGTAGGATGTAACAAAAGACATGTGGTAAAAAAAAAGGAACATGTTTGATCAGAAGCATACACTCTTTTGCAGACGACTGCATACTTAATCTCTGTCTTGGCAGCAATGCTAAAATACATATCTTGAATAAACTAAAGGCAACTTGTTATGCATAGAATTGATATACAGACTGTTCTGAGGGAGGGGGGAAAGGATAGCCTTATAATCTACCGTTAAAATTTATGCATATCCCCCTGGCTATCCTAAAAAATGGACTCATAGTAACATGAAACCATGTGCTTATAAACTCAAACATCTATTTGTTGCTCAGGCATATACAACTCATTGCATGGCTTATTGATAATATACATAATAGCGTGCTATAACGGTTTATACAAGCAGATACAGATCGCTTGTTACCTACAAAAGGTATTGAGATGCATAACAAGTGAGACCGACCTAAAAGGGTATACATTGTTTATTATTCTGACAGTCAACAAATAATGGCACTACTTGGTTATTATTTTTTCCCCACAAATCAGGCGACACATACATATGACTTCTACCAAGGTTGAAACCAATGAATACAACAAGTATAGATGAAGAACCAAAGAACGATGGTAAGAACTATTAAATAAACTTCCAAACAAGATGTGAATGCAGTATGGTCTGTTATGGTTGATCTTGTAAGAAGTATGGCTGCCATGAAGACATGGGTAACTATAACGCTGTGAATGGTGTCAAAGGAATACCTTTTTGGATTCGTACGATAGAATTTCTTTATATGGGCGCGCTTTAACGGCAATTTGGCCGAGGGTTATTCGATGCATGTGATGTGTCTCAGGTGCCCTTCCTAAAAGAACAAGTACTGCAGAAGTCAGCAAAAACTTGGGTTGCCACTGAGTGTTTCATGGATATTTTGCAATAACTTTAAGAAACGAATTATCCTTGAGCATTAGTTTATAGTTGGTTTATTTCAACAGTGTTCTAGAATAGTTTCGCGCTTCTCATATTCATTTCAATCAAAAACAGAGTGTTTATGATCTGATTCATTGTCTTAATGATCTAACGCTCTTTCATACGCCTATTGAATGAAAAAATGAAAAAACAAAAAAAAAAAAAACAAAGGATTCCAAAGTAAGACCTCTTGTATACTGAAACTCACTATGAGTTATAATGCACAGTGATTTCATTAACAAGGAAAACAAAATCTTGACAAAATGTATCGCATGGTTTTCTGTTTGAGTGTAAAAAAAAAAAAAATCAATCTGATAAATAATAACATCCGCCTGGTTTCTCCGAGTAACCATGGTCGCATATTTAACTGAACCAAAAAAAAAACCAACAAAAAAAAGATATAAAGAGTGGATTCTCTTGTAAGACAGAAAATGATTAGTTGACATATTTTACATTTTTGAATCCTTAAAGTAACAGTTATCCTTGAGGTTTTACATCGTTTGGATCCTGCTTAATCGGTCATAACCGGATGCTAGGTCTAGATGTGACAGAGAAAAGAATCAGTTGTTCTGGGGTTGCACTTCAAAAAAAATTTTTTTTTTCAATCAGATAAACCCCACTTTATGAATTGATCTTGATACATCTATAGAAATCACGCTTTTTCTTTTACTATCTGACCTAAAGTAAGTCATTGCTGTATATGCTTTTAAATTTTGCTTCTCTTCTCTTCTCTTTTCTTTTCTATTCATCTGTCATCAATTATTTTGAATCTAGTGACACCATTTGTACTACCTACTATCTAATCGGAGAGGTTGTGAATTCTTGTCTATTGTCTTATTGTTTCAACTAGAAATGTTGGTTTCAAACATTTTGTGTTTATGGTAATAACCATTACTATATAAAAACACTTATGACTTTAAATAGAAATATAAGTGATGACTTGTTTATATCTTTTCATCCTCTTGTAGTACACAAATGGATTTACATCAGATAAAGATGAGCGGATCTTTAAAGGTAAAAAAAATCAGATAATTAACAATCATCAGTAGACCCGAGTCAGCCTACAAGGGGGTTTTTTTTTTTAGATCGCGTATATAAAGGGGGACTAGAGAACAAGAGAAAGAAAAAGAGCTGCTTTTTATCCTTTTTCTGTCACATTCTTTTTAAAAATGCGTTTTGATTTCCTTTCTACCGTTATCGTCTTTTTGGCTTTATTCGCCACTGCTTTTGCCGCACATGGCGATAATGTAAGCTCTTCCCAAGTAGCTGCTCCTTCTACTACAAGCTCTGCTCAAGCAGCTGCTACAGCTACCACCGGATCCGGACATGGTGGTGCTACTGCAACGACTACTACTACTACTGTCAAGAAAACTGTTGGTAACTTTGATAGTCCTCCAGTTCTGATGGACGGTACCCTGTTCTGGATTAGTCTTGGTATTTCTTGTGGTCTCTGGACGACTGGCAAGTTTATCGATGTCAAAATTCAACGTCAAGAAAGATATGCAGAAAGCAGAGTACATGCTCTTTAAGAAATAACTTTTAGCAGTGTGCTGTATCCAAGATACCTCTTTCCATCCATAACTATCATGACTATTACTACTATTACCATCATTAATTGTATATATTCCCCATATCTCCTATTAATTAATAAAAAGGACTGTGTCCAAGCTTACTATCCATGTGCCTCATGTGCTCCTCGTACTTTTCATGTATGCTTCATCCCCGGAGCGTAAAGTTAGATCTCATAGAAATCGACGCTGTGCTCTTTTCAAGAGTAAATGTACCCACGCCGTAAGATTGGATGCAATACTACCAGGGCATTTATCGGCTGAATAGGGCACAGTTGGTAATGAATCGTAACACTGGGTGGCCTTTCTCTCTTAAATTACAACGTCAATGATTTCTATAAAGCTTGGAAAAAAAGTGCCATATATAAAAATTTTCTGTTGCATACTGGATAATTCAAACGTACGCGAAGCCGAGTTTGTTTCTTGAAAGATAGTTTATAACAGTCATTCACGAAAGGGGGTGTATGGTAGTAAAAACTGTTTCTGCTTAAACGATAGGCATGAGCTCTATCGGTTACAGGCGCGTCGTATATCGTTCAACACACTTGCACAACTCTTTTTTATTGTTGTCATGAGGATGCCGATCACCACAAGTCTGTTACTATAATTTATGAATTATTTCATTACATGTTACAGTCTGCTTCTCTTACTATTCTGTAACTATGGTTACTACAAGGGGTCCTGGTTGGACGTATTCTCAACAAGTTCTGTGGTTTTTCCATTTATGGTGAATTCTTTTGTTACAAGAAGCAAACTCCGCATTTTTTTTTCTTTTCTCTTCCCCAACCTTCCCATGACCTTTGAGCATTCCTAAGAGACATGGTGCTGGTGACATTGACACAGATCAGTCAGCACATTCGTAATTCGATACTGAAGAACATCTCTTTTTCGTCATTAAAACAAAAGACGACATTCAAGAGAAAGAAGGAAAAGAGAGGAACGATGGTACTGTATCCAAGTCGAGTCAAATCGAGAGATATCATAGCTGCATTTGCAGAGACCAGTGGCATGTTTAATAACAATATCAGTCTAAGCATACCCGTAACACCTCACTATATTCCACCGCGTGCCCCTGTTGTGCTCTGCCATGGACTGTATGGATTTGATAAAAGGGGACCTGAATCCTTTCCTTTCTTGCAGGTCCAATACTGGGGAGGAATCGAGGATGCGTTGGCTAAATTGGGTGCCAAGGTGATCGTGACAAGGGTTCCTTCGACAGGAAGTATTTGGCAGAGAGCTCATACGTTGCATTCTATCTTGACGTCTATCTCGGATGGAAGTAAAGTGAATTTTATTGCACATTCGATGGTAAGCAATTTATTCTAGAAAAAAGAAGAAGCCTTACCATGGGTTTAGGGCGGATTGGATTGCCGGTACTTGATTTCGCATATACCAAATAAACAATACAGTGTGCAGTCATTAACGACAATATCAACGCCGCACCGTGGATCTCCCGTCATGGACTGGTTTCGTGATCATGTTGGTGTTGGCATGGCTCTTGTAAACATGACAGCTGCAGCAAGTGATAATCATCAACGTGTAGACTGCAATACATTACAGAAGCATGGCTTAACCCAGCAACAGTCATCCTTCTTGAGTAAATCTTTATCAGATATCGCCAAACTTCCAAAACCTATACTGGATCCTTTACTGCAAAAGACCATTCGTGTATTAGATACAGCCGCATATGCTAATCTAACAACCGACTATTGTAAACACCATTTTAACCCAAGCACACCTAATGATCCTGGCGTTGCCTACTACTCATACGGCGCTGTCGCTTCATTTTCACCTTGGTCAATGTTAAATATTCCATCACAATGGATAAGCGAGAAAGAGGGCAGTAATGATGGTTTGGTCAGTGTTCAGAGTGCAAAGTGGGGAAAATACGTCAAGACTGTAGAAGCAGATCATTGGGACTTGAGCGGACAAAGGTAACTTTATTTTTTGTGTATGTTCCTTTTCAATATTCATTCTTGATAGATATCGATGGAAGTATACACGACCTTTTGTAAATAAGAGTAAATTTGATACACTTGATTTCTACATGGAAATAGCCACGTATTTATACCATCAAGGACACTAAAGTAGTTACACACTCTCCTCAAACTGAAATAAAAATTTGTATCTCCTTTTGTATCCTTTTTATATTGTGCACGAGCAAACAGGGCACTAGGGGAATTATTTTTCACCTTTCTTTTTATTCCCTTTTTTCTTCTTCTTTTTTTTTTTGCTGTTCTAAACAATGTCTTTACACTTTAAGAAGAAACACCCTCAACAAACTAATTCATCAGCTAATTCGTCTCAAGTGTTTGAAGATGATCAATATGCCAAAGTAGTCGATGGCATCAAGAAAATTTATAGACAAAAGATAAAACCTCTCGAAGTAACTTACAACTTTGAAGGTTAGTGACCAAATTGATAAAGCAAGCTTTTTCTCTCCTCTTTTTATATAATTTACAAATAGTTCTAGTCCTTTATTAGGTTTCCATTCTGCTCCTTTGACCGATTCTGATATTGAAGCTAAACCTATTGTGCTCTTGATTGGACAGTACTCTACTGTAAGTGCTTTAGTTTGTTTTTATTTTATAGTATCTAAAACCATATAACAAATAAGGGTAAAACTACCTTCATTCGTTACTTGCTTGATAAGGCATACCCTGGTGAACATATCGGTGTTGAACCTACAACCGATCGATTTGTAGCCGTCATGCACGGTACAGAGGAACGAGTGATCCCTGGTAATGCAGCTGCTGTCAATCAGGAATTACCCTTTAGAGGTCTCAATCGATTTGGACAAGCATTTCTTTCAAGATTTCAAGTATGACTAAAAAAAAGCTTGATACGCTCCTTTACTTAGTTTATTCTAGGTATCCCAAACCAATTCACCCGTGTTAGAAAATATGACCATCATCGACTCTCCTGGTATTCTTGCTGGTGATAAGCAGTTAACCGAGCGAGGATATGATTTTACTCAGGTCATCGAATGGTTTGCTGAGCGTGCTGATTTGATCTTGCTCATGTTTGACTCTCATAAGCTTGATATCTCTAATGAATTCAAGATGGCTATTCACAGTTTAAGAGGCCAAGAGGAAAAAGTAAGAGTAGTGCTTAATAAGAGTGATATGGTAAGCCAACAGCAATTGATGAGAGTGTAAGTGTTGCTTCTTGATAAACCAGACAAGAACTAATTTTTTTTTTTTTGGTTTAGTTACGGTGCCATGATGTGGTCTTTAGGTAAGGTAGTTCAGACTCCCGAAGTCATGAGGGTCTACCTTTCCTCGTTCTGGACGGAGAAGCCTCCGAATTGCTTTGAGGATTGTCGTGAACTGATCGAAGCAGAATCAAAGGACTTGCTTCGTGATCTCAAGGAACTACGACGTCATGCGGCTATTCGAAAGATTAACGAAATTGTAAAACGTGCTCGCTTAGCTCGTGTTCATGCATTGATTATCAGCCATCTCAAAAAGGAAATGCCATCAATGTTTGGTAAAAAGAAAAAGCAAGAGGCATTGTTGAATAACCTGCCTGCTGAGTTTCTCAAGATTCAGCAAAAACATCATCTTCCTGCAGGTGATTTCCCTAATCCAGAGCGTTTCAAACAAAATTTGGCTCATTACGATATGGACAAGTTCAAGTCACTTAAAGAAGACTTGATTGAACGTGTGGATGAGGTATGGATCTAAGATATAAAAAAGGAGAGGGCCCTTTCTGACTATTAATATAGGCACTTTCCACTGATCTTCCTCATTTAATGTCTCAATTCCCAACAGCAAATCCTGAACTCGGTCAAAATGAAAGAAATCCCTTTCAAGAGTCAGCAATGCCTCGTCCAGGCGAAATTCCACCTTCTTACTGGCATTTTGATTCAATTGATAAGAATTCGTATGCACCTTCATTCTTTCAATTAGGCCCTCGTGATGGCAAGGCTTCCGGTACAGAGATCAAGCCAGTATTGATGCAAAGCGGTTTGCCTACTGACCAATTGGCCCACATTTGGAGACTTGCAGATTTTGATAATGATGGCTATATGGATCTAGATGAATTTTCGATTGCTATGCATTTGATCAAGGCGGTACAAAATGGAGCACAACTACCGGAGAAGCTTCCTGCTACTTTGTTGCCAAACAGGAAGTTTTAAGTCCTTTAATAAAACTAGATTTTATTATGAAACAGCAACTAACCATGCGATGAGAAGATAAAATAAGAATAATGGATACACCTTTTTTTTAAGTTAGTGTGTGTATCTTGTAATTTATATCTTGCTACTTACTGCTAATGCATGTCTATTGGCTAAATGAGCTTTTGATTCGGATAGAAATCCCAAGGCGGCTGGCATTAACGATTAAGTAAAAATTGATCATATATAATAAATGTTCTATTTAATTACCATAGGTCGACCATGCGAATGCCATTAGCGAGCTAGGTACTCTGAACCAGACCGTGGTGATAAAGATGGATATGATTGCCACCAAGACAAGAGGAAATAAACAGTATCCGATAACGCATACTGATTGGAAAAAGGATCTATGTGATTCATGTTATTTTGCTTTTCAAATAGGGTTATTTCACGGCTTACACTGCTCCACCTAATAGTTTTGCATTTATGGTTACAACAGCCGCGCCTATCCACACTATAACAAAGACTCCAGTGAATATGGGTACTGATTGATTTGAAGGTACACTAGTGCTTAGTGTTCTATCATAAAGTTAAAATATATCCATTCCTAAAAAGATTCGTTACTTACATTGCCAAAGTCAAACAAAGTATCAATGGTCCCCATAAGTCCCCTATGATAATAAGTATTTTTGCAACTCGTACTTTTCTCCTTCTTCTTACAATCTTTCAGCACGCCTCTGTCACCTCTTGGATTCAGCACTTGTTGTAATTTCCTTCCTACTTGTTTTACATCACGAAGCTAAAACAATTTATAAAGTAAATAAAAGAGAAAAGGAAGGAATTATTGGTTATTTACGATGGTAACAGAAACAGGTTCATCCAATGTGTCTTCCCCTGTATAAGTGGCATCATAAGCTGGTTCGCTATAACTTGTAGATTCTGTTGATCCAATCTTTCCACTCACATTGGCAAATGGGTTTATTAGTGGTTCTGTTTGTTGTCGAACAGGGTCAGTGTCAGGCTCGATAGTTCTGTCCTGATAAAAGTCAAATGTTTCGTTTTGTCGAGCAAAGGGGTTATCGTACTGTTCCTCGTTTTGGCCGAGCATTTTTTTTTAAAATAGAAAAAAAAAAAGGCCAAGTCTGAAAAAGTCTTGAGGTTACATTTATGAAAGGCTTGGTGTTGGACAATCTTGGAGTAAGCTATTGCTTCCAATGGATACATTTCATTATAACTTCTATCTCTTTATTTTTTATCAATCTATAAGTTGCATAAAACTGTTCTACAGGTCAATTAGAGCAATAGTCCTCCTTCTTTTTTTCCTTTAGGTTTCTCTTGATTAACAAAGCTCTGCTAATATATATAAATGAAAACAACTGTTGTCTTGAGCCTTAAAGAAAAATGTTATTGAGTTATGTAGCGCATAAAGGATATTGTCCCTGGATATTTCATCATGGCACCAGCTTTCTCTTTTATTTTAGATGTACGAATACATCCTTAACACTGTAGAATGTAGATTGCTCAGTAAAAGTAATGATACATCATTACTACTGACACTACTGACAACACTTTAAAGGTATAAAATTCATTTTATTTGTTTTCTTTATTATCAACTATCAACTATTCAAAAATATAATGAGCAACGACACATTAAACATAGATATAGTCTATCTTCCTCCTGACATCCCCTCCTCTACTTGTTGCTGTATCATCTCTTAATGCATGTTTTATCGCTCTATCTAGCAAAGAATATACTTAATAAAACGCGCCGCTACTTTATAATAGCACCGCAATCTAGTAAATATACCCAAGCCTCTTTATTGTTAATGCAGCATCAAAATGCATCATTCACTGTCCATCAGTGTTATTAAAGCGGTAAAAAAAGGCTTTACGGTACTTTCAACACTAGCTCATTCTGAATATTTACCTCGTTGTTTCAATGAAGAGCAATAATGAACCGTATCCACTGTTATTACTGACAACAAATAACAAGAGTATAAAAGAGTTTTTTTTTTTTATTTATTTATTCCTTTTTCTCTTATCAAATAGCAGCAAGTATGATATACACTCTTTCCGGAAAGTAAATTTTTTTTTTTTTTTTGTAAAATGGTATATTTTATTCAAGTACTGCCAGTTAGCTTGTACTTATTAAAGAAAATAATAAAGAGCATAGAAGCACGGAACAAAATAAAGGTTGCGTTAACCTGAGCGAGATGTTTTTAGACGCTCTCTATAGATATTCTCATCATGTATTCGCTTGATTGCTTGCGTTGCTCGTGCAGCAGCTTCATCGGGCCAGAAGGTACGACCATCAAATACAAAACGCCAATGACACCGCC